CCCAATGGAATGTGAGTGACATAGGAACAAAACCCTTGTCAAAGCAGAGACTTCTCATTCTTCTTCACCAAGTTGGAGCATGCGACCCTGAGACGCTGGATATGATAGGGCAGGAGGAGTTTGACAGGTTTGAAGAAAGAATTGTTGGACAGCAATCAATGAAACGTATGACGAAGGCTATCATGCGTATGGCATTGATGTGGGGCCTTGAGCCTGCTTTCAACATTGGAGCAGAGGCAACAAGCACTGAGGAGGTATGTCTTCAGGTTCAGGCTTCTGGAAGTGGCAATGAAAACTTTTGGTTGTGGCTTGCGTGGTTTGGACTTTTCATACTTTGGATTGGTCTTGCAACATTTGGATATTTTGCATGGTGCAGAGTGTCCACAGACCTATACCATTGTTGGAATCAAGTTGGTGATGAAGATGGATACATTGCCAAGCAGGAGAAGCGCATCGATGACTTAATTGTGAAGTTGGAGCGCATGCAGATTCAAATGGAACAAGACTATGCAATGCTTTCTGACCGAGTGGAATCAACCAGCAACGAGGTTTCCATGACGCACGATTATGCATCAGGTTTGCACTATAGCCTGGTGGAACATGGTGGATTTCTGAGAAATGGGTGTGGGTTGAGCCGAGAACAATGGGTTCACCTCACAACACTGGAAAGAGCCAATCTGGTTTCTGCAAGGACACTTGGATCGGTGGAATACATGAGACTGGTTAGACAGCGTTTTGCCCCCCAAGGCAATGCAGATGAAACAGATGTTGGTGCTCCAGAAGGAGATGAAAGTGAAGCCATGGACGATGACGTGCCAATGGAAGTCTCAACTGGAACAGACTCAGTGACAGACATAGTGGAATTTCTCAAGACCGAGCACTTGAAATGTTTGCAGAATGGTGACCTCTGGGATGCCAATGAAATCCAACACACGATTCTTGGTTTCTTAGAGGAGGTCAGAACAGAGAACACGAGTTCAATGTTTGAACGCTGCAAGCAGAAGGTGGTCGAGATGTTTGAGGAAATGTACAAAAGGGCGACAGAGCAAAACCGATGGGAAAGTGCAGATATTACCAAATGGTAGCTGACATGTACCGAGATGGATGAGACAAAATTTTTCTGGCAGAGTTTCTTTTCAGATACAAAAGCTGGGAAGGAGCGTGAAGCAGAATGGAAATGTGTATTGCGGAGCTAAAGGCTACAGCAATACAAGGAGGAGTGAGAAATATTTTCACTTCACCATTTACTTTGAGAGACAGTCTGGAAACATTGCTGTGCAGGTATGCATTCAGGTTGAGTCCAGACAAACGCCAGTGGATGACACACACAAATCGAAACGAGAAGTGTACAAAGGTTCATCCATAGCACATAAACTGATGTGCATACTTCAGGCCCCTGAGGTTCAAAATAGTGTTGCTGCCCGCTTCGCAGTTTTTGATCCCGCTCCGCCGTCCGCTCCGCCTCCTCCTCCCGCTCCGCCTCCCGCTACACACAATTTGTCGCACCATTCTTTGTCACACACCATCTTTCACACACAACTTTGCAACACACTTTCTTTCACACACAACTTTGCCACATACCATCTTTCAAACGTAATTTAACAACTTTGTCGCACACATTTTTGTCACTCACAATTTTGTCACGCACACAACTTTGTCACACACCATCTTTCACACACAACTTTCCCACACACCATCTTTCACATACAACTTTGTCACATATATCTCTTTCACACACAACCTTTTACACACAATTTTGTCACATACAATTCTTTCACACAAAACTTTTAAACACACAAACTTCCACACACAACACTGTCACACACAGCTCTTTCACCCAACCTGTCTTGCACCATGTCCTTTCTCTTTCTTGCCTTCCCCGTCTCATTTTCACATCTGATTGGGCATTATTGGAAGAAATTGACATGTGGGGAGTTCCGGTCTTTTAATTTTGAATGGTACTAATCTTTTGGGACTGCTGAGATGGATGCCCGCTGTGAACCGAAACAAGGTTTGAACAAATAGAGAAGTTCCCCAGGTCCAAACTTCACAGAAAACTACCCTTTTGATTCTAGCTCGCATGCAGCAAACACCACAAACGTATCCGCACACCGCACATCTGTCCTGACTTGATCCCCCTGGTAATGTCGGGGCCTCTAGGCCGAGACAAGAAACGATTCTCTCGACAGTTCAACTGCAAAGTGGTGTAAAGTGAGAATAGCAGTTTCCGGAAATCTGCAAAGTCGACCATGTGGCATCGTGTGAACAGGAGCCATGCCGACGGCGGGGTTTTTGAGAGCCGATCAGCTCCGACCAGATGTGTAGCGTTTTCATTCGTGAGGATTTCCTTTTACCATGCAGTTGCGGTGTAGTATGATTATGGCCGCTTTGACTGGGTTTCTTTCTGAGAGCAGATGACAGCATGAGGCATGTGCTTTTGGGGAATGTGCTGGTCTTTTGAGCCCTTGTGTGATATTTTGCCGTAGATTGGTCTTGGATCATTTTTGCCTGCTGAAACGATTTGCAAAGTGATTGCGGCGGTGGGTACTTAAGGTATTACAATGAGCTGGGACATCACATGTACTGCTCAGCAGTCTTGATTTCGTTTGCAGCCGTTCTGTTTTCTATCTGTGCGTGGCTCATGTGGTTGCCTTGACCCCAATGGTTTTTTTCGGCCTTTGCCACCATATATCTTGCGTTTGTGCTGTTGATACATTTTGACTGTGATACGTTTGGATCCATTGTCGAATAATATTGCGACATTTGGATGCGTTTGGCTGTTTTCGGTATCAAACCTAAATGGGATATTTCATGGCCTGCATAATTTACTTCCGAAAACCCACACGAACAAGAGGGCATGGACACATTTACATTGCAAACGTCTACGATGCACATTTCCACGAATGGGGGAGGATCCCACGTTAGACTGTCTTTCAAATTGAAATTCCAAAAACCAGAGGAACAGTACGAAAAATTGGGATCAGTGCTCACAGTTTGCATGTCATGTCAGTTCATTTCATTGTGAGGTTCAGTTTCATGCCACGCGCAAAATCGAGAAAATGTCACATTTTGATTGCATGAAAAAATCATAGCAAGGGCGTTCACTCGTGGAGGTTTTTGGTTTAGGAATTAAAAAAAATGGGAGTTGCTACGGAGTTTCAAAGAAAAATATACGTGTTGATTCGCATTTTGGTTTCTGCATGTTTTTGGCGCACGTATTGGTGCGTTTTTCAAATTTTGTAGGCACGAAAAAATGGTCGAAAAAAACCGCAAGATGCAATCCATCAAAATACGGCATGGACTTGACATACCCGCCCCCGCGACATGCACAATATCAGTTATTATGTTTTGAATTTTTGAACTTGTTACTGTTGTGTTGTATGTATTGGTTATTATGTGCCGGCCACTTGGAATCTGATTTCAGACTCTGGTGGAACCATCGGCGCCCAACAAAAAAACAACAATGTACTTGTTGGCAATTCACAACGCATCGCAGCATTGTGCCATTATTGCATTGTTGTGTCAGTGTCACTTTCGTAAGTTTGGGCCATTTGGTGGGAATGCGTTGATGCCCACTGTTGCGTTGATTTTGCAAGATAAATTGTCACTGTCACAATGCGTACACAGTCTGCTTATCATTGTTGGTGTGTCAGTTCGCTTCGATGCAGCCTTCCAACGAGATGAATAATTTGCTTCGATGCAGCCTTCCAACAAAATAAGTAATCTCACAGAACCAAAATGCCAAATCATTTTGAACTATTGCATTCGTTGAAATATAATTTTTCAACAAATTGTCTGAAAACAAAAATTTAATGGTTCTTTTCATTCATAGAACAACATCTCCCAAACAAGTGCAATGGGTCTTCGGCAGCGCCAAGAAGCTCCGCAGGACCCACACGTGTTGGAACAGAGTTTTTGCTTTCAACGAAACAACATTTTGATTTTTTCTTAAAGGCACATTTTGTGCCAAAATTATTGTATTTTGGCAGGAACGAACGTTTTGGGGCCAAACAATTGTCGAACCCACAGTTTGTGATGCACAGAAACGCATGCAATCAGGAAACTGATGCGGATGTTGCTGGCCAGCTGAATCAGGTGAGCTGAACGTCATTTGCAGCGGGCCAAAAGGTCCAAAGGTCATTTTGACAGCGGATTTTCTTTTAAATAAAGGTGTTTGTTTCAAAGCACCCCTCAACTGTATTACTAGTTTTATTGGTTGTACAATCTTCATGAACTGGCACGTAAAAAATGTTGCTGCACGACAAATGGTTTAATTTGTTGGTCATTTTCTCTTGGTCATTTATGCACCTAGTCACGTACAGGAAGAGGACACCGAGTGCAAGACCAAAGAATGTCAAAGACACGGTGGACACAAAGAATCGCATGAATGCTGCAGGAGCTTTGCAACATTTTAGCGATCCAGGTCACATACATAATATGTATATATATATAATATATAATATATATATATATATATTATGTCATGTCGCAGATGTCTAAAATGGATAGAAAACATGGACTTAGGATCTTAGGATGAACATTTTTTTGAAATATGGCGTTGAAACACAGGTTCATGCCATGTTTGACTCTTCAAATTTACTTGTTTTGCATTTATTGCGTAAAATTACGAACATTTGTTATTTTTCAGTGCGTTTGTTATCATTTTGTTGGACATTTTCACCCAAGCTGCTGTACACCCCTTTTTCATGTCGCGCTGCTTTCATTTTCGGTATTGCAATTCACAGCTAAACCTCTTTTGTTGCAATTTGCAAACTTGCTTCAACTAATTGTTTCTCTTGTATGTAGAAAACAGGGCCCTAAATTTTGGAATTGTTTTTCCGCAATGTTTCCACCCCGAACAATTTTGGCCCTCTTTATTGGTTGGTCAGTTGGTCAATTGTTGTTCCATGGCTGCAATCAACGTCCACAACTGCTGGTGAAATATTTTTGTTGGTTTGCACACAGTTTTGAATCCTCATGACTTTGCCAGGAGGTTTCTAGGATCTCCAACGTGGAAATGTATCACCCTTTCTGCCAGGGACTCATGATTTGCCCGTTGATTTGTATGCTTCATCTATCAGAATTTGGCCTAAAAAATGCGGATGGGCGGATGGGTCACACAACATTTTTTGCAGTTCGAAGAAGCGGTCTTGAACCCAACTTCTTCAGTAAATGCAAACATGCCCACGTCAGACAAGGTGGTGGGATTTACACCTGTTCAACCCTGAGATCCAGAAAACTGTCAGTTTTCGCAGTGTTTCAAGGTGTTGGTGTTTACACATTTACAGGAACCCCAATGTCACACACACACACATTCATACATACACACATGTCAAAAAATCACTGGAACCGTTTTTTTAACACCCAAATATATCGATCAATAGGGGAATATGGTGGGGTTCAACATGCTTCAACTATAGATTCTCCAATCAATGCTTGCTCCATGCGAGGCTTTCGGTGTTGTGGTGGCAGTACCTGAGATGCTTGGAGGATGGGGACTCCAACCTTGGACGTTCGAGTGCCAAGCGCGCCAGACCCGGGACCCCTTGGTTAATCCAATGACCATCGAACTTTTTGTCATTCGACCCGATTCGTCCTATTCTTCATTTTTAATGGGGGAAAGCGGGGAAAGGACTCGGACATTGGATTTATATGGATTTATATGGATTTACGGGGTAGCCCAAGTTTATTGAACAACCACTGTAAATCATCAACCAAAACTCTACGAAAATGGCCTTGGGGATGCCATTTGGTCAATTCTGAAGGTTTTCCTGGCTGATGAACTACTGCTTCGCAGCCTGGACTGGGAACCCAGTTCGCAGTGGGGCCGAACCTTTCGGGCCAAGGTTTTATCAAATCTACAAACCGGTGCTTCTGGTTGCATTTTATATATATAATATATATATATATTAAATAAATAAATAAATAAATAGATAGATAGATAGATAGATAGATAGATAGATAAACACATAAATAATACATATATATATATATAATATGTATATGTATATGTATATGTATATGTATATGTATGTGTATATGTATATGTATATATATATAGGCATTTATTGTTTTGAGTTGCCCTCGTTTTTTTCCTTGTTGCAATTGTCAGCAGTTGCAACGTGCGGATCGTATCGCACACTCACCACAGGACTTCTCTGTACAGAAACGGTTTGATCATCAAGTTTGATTGGACGTATCCGATGACTTGACACATGTGACTCCGGGGTTGGCCTTTTTGGGCGCAAGTGAGATGTGGTTAGTGGAGGTTAGCGACTCAATTCCTCTACAACTTCATGGCGCCAATGCCTCGGAAGACATCTCAGCCCTGCAAACATGCTTAGGCGTTTTGGTTGCCTGATTGGGAAAAATCTTCAGGAATCTTCAGGAACACTTTTTTTTTTTGAATAGGAGACAACAAACATACAATCATGTTTCTTGTAGAGTAAACAATTTCTTGCGATTGGGTGCTTTGTTCTCGGAATACCATTGTAACGGAGTTATTTTTCCATCTGCTTTTGCCGCAGAATTCATGTCACATTCATGGCATGGCCAATCCCACAGGTGTCAGTGGACTGATGCTGGCAACTGCAAGACAATCAAGCCGACGCAAGAGGTTCGGAAGCCATCGAAGCAAACAGTTTCTGCCAAAGTTAGATGCCATTTTCAGTCCCGCAGAAATCATCCGCAACCGCAGGTGACGGGTCAGTTCCAAATGGGCGGTTCTGAGCCTCAGATCGTGGCCACCTCCGACTTGCTGAGTTTCCGATTTTGTGTTCTGAGGTGAAGAGAGCGGGCTTGCATCTCAAATGACAACATGGGGTTGAACTGTGGTCCAATCAGCAATTGGGATACAACCAGGAAAACATGGGATATGTTGACATCCACAAAGATAGGCTGATGATCCTCATCAACCTTCATATGTTGAGGACGGACGGCTCAATCACCCGGATATGGGATCTGCAGTCACCAGACGTTTGGAACCTTCAGGCTGGACTTGCTCTATGCTCCAAATTGGTGCGCGTCTCTTGGTTCCATACGGGGAACTTCTGGGGGTCCTGCTAGGGCTAGCGGCTAGCATCTTTCACCGAGTCTCAAAAGTCTGAGTAACATTTGACCAGGTGTGCCGGTCTACCTCCTTGTCATCTTCACAACACAACACAACGACTTATTTTTGGCGTTGTATCCTCCGATGTTTAGCAGCTTAGCGGATGTGCAATCGCTGCCAAGCACACCAAATTCTTCAGGTTGGTAGCTGCTTTCTTTGTGCATAAATGTCAATAATCCCCCAACATTCACTCTCTTTCAACACATGGGATTGGGCTAAAATGATACTGTATCACCCGAAACAAATCCAGAAATAGACGGATGGTTGTAGAAAACTATAAAGCTCACAAACGTATAGACTGTATATGTATATATATATATACTGTCAGTATATATATATATACATATGAATTATGTATTATATAAATATATTCTAATATACATATTCTCAACATGACCAGCTGTTTTTTGGGTCCAACCTCTGCCCAGGAAATGCTCGCACTGGAAGCCTCCAAGGTCGCACCACTGCAGGGATCTCAGAAACAGCAGGGATTGGAACATGTCTGACATGTCTCACTGGGGATTTCATCAATTGTAAACATCAATCAAGATATACCAAGATAGTTGTTGGATGTTTTTGGTCGTGATTCAACCAACATGTTTTTCTGCTTGAGACATTTACCCAGCGGAATGGCCAAGCAGAATGGGTCCATGGCTGATCTGCAATGTTTTTTCTAGAAGTTTCTTGACTAGCGGCTGCATCTTGGAAAAATGGCCTGGCTCTTCTGGTCATCTTTTCACTGGCAGGTAGTACGTGCAATCGGTGTGTTCTCCGTCAAGAGCTTGGCTTTCCTCATTGAATATTGGATGGCTACCTGTTTATTAGGAGAACATCACAATCATATTTTTCTTTTGAGAATCGTTTTGGATTTTTGGCGTCAATGTGAGCTGAGAAGAAAGTCAGGCATGGACCACCACTGTCCCTTCACTGGCAACTGCATTGGTGCGTACAGCACTGAGACAAGTTCGCGCCTGCTTGGCTGTGGTGAAGCACAACTTGGAATCCTTTTGCTGGATGATTTGCATGACTGCGCAAGAAACCATTACAGCTTGGTGTCTTGGTTGACTTTTCTGCATTGATCAAGGCGAAACCACGGGCACTTCATTCTCTTTTATTTCTTTGCGCCCGGATCTTACACCAGGACTCCAGTGCAGTTATAGACCATCCAATCTGTGGTTGCTAATTTGGTACCAAGGGTGGTTGGTTTGACCTACTCGCTGGTACTGTGTCAATCTCAGAGTTTCCTCTGTCGGCTTGGCAGTGTCCAACAATTTGGTGTTTGCGCGGGTTCAAACACACTGATACTGCCCTCCTTACCATCAGTTCCCCTACTAATCTAGCTCTACTAAAGTAGTTTGTTTAGATGTTTTGCGGTATCCCCATTTTTCGGCAGTGTCAAAGCGTAGAAGCAGGGCCGCCAAGGGTTGGGCTCTACCTTCTGATTGTTCGCGAGCCAAGTTTGCCATCCCATTGTCTCGAGGTCCGTGGGAGCCGCATACAGTACAGACCATATTTCGAAATGGCACGACTTGATTGTGATGCTCGCCCTGTTTTGTGATGTTTTGTGTACACCGTTGCACCGTTGCTGGGGGCAACGATCTAGCGGATCAAACTTGAAACAGCCTAGTGGTCCGACCTGGATTTCCATTCGACATGCCAGATACCAAAGTTCAAGGAGCACAATGATTTGTCAAGTCCTCAAGATCCAACCGTCAAGGCCGCCAAGGCCGCCAAGGCCGTCAAGTGTCGTGCAGTGTGTGCTGGGTGCGTCGTGAGGCTAAAGCAGCACTTCATGACTGGGCTCATCGGAGTTGCCATTTCTATCATGATCGAGGCCGCACTGCCACGACTGAAGCGACTCCAGAGACTCGTGCTGAAGCGCTGAGAGGTCGCTACAAAGAAAGGCATCGCCGTGCTGGTTCAGCTGGTGGAAATCTCATCCGAAGCTGCGAGAAGATGCTGATGTTTTCTGATGTTTGCTGAAATTGAGAAATGTTTGCTATCAATTTCTCAACACCTTTGTTTCTTGGCGTGAAAAGATATCTTCTACCCCAACTCCAAGTCATACCACCGTTCTAGATGTTATTAGAACGCTGTTTCTTAAACGCCCGTCTCTTCAAACAGGGGCATGCAAAGGGGGCGCACAACTAGTTGGAGCCGAAAAACCATGTACCAAGATGTACCAAGTACATCCAAGTACCAAGCACTGCACTCCGCTAAGGTGGCTACAACACTGGCCTTCATTCCAGTCCTGGGCACAGGGTTTCCAGCTTGCCAGATGGCCTGCATGGATCTCAGCATCGCGGCTCGTGCGCTCGTGCTTTTCTTGCCACGATTGAGCTCATTTTACTTCAATGCATTTAGATAAGGGAAAATTGATGAAAATTGGCAGGAAACCATGGTTTTTACTATTTACCCCAATTCTGGGGCTTCCTGCAGCTTTTCCCTTAAACCAATTCGGGGAATTGAGGCATGCTTGAGTTGATGCTTACTACAGTTTTTCTTTGCGATGGGGATGTAGACTGTTCGCAGGGGGCAACGTGACCACCATGGAGAGAATGTTTCCCATGAAGGCCAGGTTTTGCCTGGGTCCAAAGGAGATCAGTAATGTTTCAAGAGAAGGGAGCAACACTTGCCAAGACGCAACCACCTAGTGCTTCGCTGATATCATTGCTGGATCTGCTTTTGCTTGGCTGAGCCACACAAGCCTTTGGCACCTAGATTCTCTGTTGTGATGCGTTTCGATTTGTCTCAGGAGTACGTTCAATTGAAGGACAAGGCGCTTAATTCAGCCGGATTCAGCGGGATTCTGTAGGCCGTTTGTTTGTCTGATCAGGCGAGTATGATCCCATGACTAGCGGTTTCGGCAAATCAGCCACCTTAACCTCAAGCACCAGTTGGGCGTTGGGTACTGGTTGACAATTTCCAAACATATGGGTTGGTCTGAACATGTGGTACTGTACCCTCAATTTCATGATACATATATACAGTACATATATCTATACACATACACATATAAATTAGTTTTTTCACATTTTTCCAATGAAAACGGCGAAAAAATGGGGGAAGAGTCTACGGCCAAAGATCCAAAGCTCCAGGTCTACTGTCCTTTGGGTCCTGGATTCTACCGTCCGCTCCTTGGAGCCGGTGCCAACTTAGCCAACTGAAAGGGGCCTGTGAACCCTCAAATCAATAAACGAAATTTGATGGCATTAGCAAATTATAAACAATGCATAACAATGCATCCATGAATGAAGAAAATAAGCCCAAAGAATATCCCCAACAGCCAGAAACAAAAACAGTTGCCAAACACGCAATGAGTGAAGTATGTTTATTGCCCCGCCCTTCTTACTCTAGAGGTCGGGCGTGCATGGCGCAATCACAGCACAAACACGTTATGAAAAAAACGTTTTTCCAAAAGCGTTTGCAATACCGTGGCCAATATTCCCGAAGCTCGTGCGAAGGGTTTTTTCCCAAAGAACTGCTGTCCGCCTCACTCTTCACTTCATCTACCTAACATACATCATCCACATCTCTTATGTCCTTTACTACTACTACTACTACTACTACTACTACTACTAGAAGTATTAATAGTACATCCCCCCTTAAGGGGGGGTGGGCCCCCCTTAACACTAAATATATTTAAACCGACGTCCCCAAAACATTGATGCTTGTAGACCTGAGATTCTGAGGATTCAGATGGATCTAGACATAGTGCATGTCACCAGGTACATGTCTCTTATACGCATGGCACTCATGATTTTATTTGAATTGTGTTCTGGCATTGCATCTTGCATACATTCTGACATCTAAACAACAGGCTTAAAGTTTGTCGATATTTTCTGTATTATCGTTCTTTACTTACGTCCTTTTCAAAATTCGGCGCGATTTGCGTAAGGTCCGAAAATTGTGTTCTTCTTGGTTCGTATAGATAGTAATCAACAAAGCAATAAGATAGATTGTTCAATGCTATTAATGACCGCGTTCAATCAAAAATCAAACCACTATTAGATATTTGTCAGATTCTACGTTTTCATGTCTTGAATTTAGCTATAGATGTTTGTTTTTGGATAAAAATAATCGCAGATTTAGATTCCTGCATCTGGGCCCCGGGATCCGGGTCCCGGGATCCGGGACCCGGACTCCGGGTCCCGGATTCCAGAATCCACCTGTCCATTCTAGGTAGAAATCAAGGTTTGAAAAACTATACAGATTTGTTTCGTCTCTGGACTTTCTTTAGATCAGACCTTATAGATGTAAATAGTTTTGGTATGAGTTGTACATTTCTCGCATGTCTACACGGATGTATTTTTGAAATATGTTCTTTTTTTGAAAATTATAATTGCATGAAGACACAGGTAATCGATGATGGAAAAAATATTCTGCATGTCTTGGCATGGATAATGATATGTATATTGTCACCAGGTACATGTCTCTTATACGCATGGCACTCAGGTGCAACTACACTTACGTGATTTTTTTAACCTCATGTTTTCATGTTATGCCGCTTTTTTTAATGGCGCTTCGCTTTTGTCGCTGGTTTTTCAAATGCGTTTGCTTGAAGTGTTCATAAAGTGTTCCATGTGATTTTATTTGAATTGCGTTCGGGCATTGCATCTCGCATACATTCTGACATCTAAACAACAGGCTTAAAGTTTGCCGATATTTTCTGTATTATCGTTCTTTACTTACGTCCTTTTCAAAAATTCGGCGCGATTTGCGTAAGGTCCGAAAATTGTGTTCTTCTTGGTTCGTATAGATAGTGTTCAACAAAGCAATAAGATAGATTGTTCACTACTAGCAATGACCGCGTTCAATAAAAAAAACACGATTAGATATTTGTCAGATTCTACGTTTTCCTGTCTTGAATTTAGCTATATATGTTTATTTTTGGATAAAAATAATCGCGGATTTAGATTCCTGCATCTGGGTCCCGGGATCCCGGGTCCCGGATTCCAGAATCCACCTGTCCATTCTAGGTAGAAATCAAGGTTTGAAAAACTATACAGATTTGTTTCGTCTCTGGACTTTCTTTAGATCAGACCTTATAGATGTAAATAGTTTTGGTATGAGTTGTACATTTCTCGCATGTCTACACGGATGTATTTTTGAAATATGTTCTTTTTTTGAAAATTATAATTGCATGAAGACACAGGTAATCGATGATGGAAAAAATATTCTGCATGTCTTGGCATGGATAATGATATGTATATTGTCACCAGGTACATGTCTCTTATACGCATGGCACTCAGGTGCAACTACACTTACGTGATTTTTTTTACCTCATGTTTTCATGTTATGCCGCTTTTTTAAATGGCGCTTCGCTTTTGTCGCTGGTTTTTCAAATGCGTTTGCTTGAAGTGTTCATAAAGTGTTCCATGTGATTTTATTTGAATTGCGTTCTGGCATTGCATCTCGCATACATTCTGACATCTAAACAACAGGCTTAAAGTTTGCCGATATTTTCTGTATTATCGTTCTTTACTTACGTCCTTTTGAAGACCCGGTGCGCTTTGCGTAAGGTTTGAAAATTGTGTTCTTCTAGGTTTGTTTTCTCCAGTATAAAAGCGTTTAAAAGAGCAAGAAGGCGGATTATGCACCAGTAGCAATGAATCAGCGTTCGAAAAATATTACCTTGTTTTTTTTCAAATGTTTTTTTTTGCGTTTTGTATTTACATCTGTTTTTGTATTTACAATCTTTTTCTGCCGATCTGCAGCTGACACCGGCTCCTTCACGACCATGACAGGCACAGACTGGGCCATAGACCGCATCCACTTCGGAAGCTCCAGCTGCAAGTCGAAAGCCACACGAAGATAGCAATACAAGCTGCACGTCCTGGTGTGCCCAGACACATAGGTGAAGGTGTCGCTGTCACCCTGCCGCACGACCTTCATCGGGCCAAGCCACCCTTCTGATTGGAACATTGCTGCCAGCATCTCCTTCCAGTGCGCGCCATGAACGTTGGGAAATTACAGTGGGAGCATGCAAACTTTATGCTCCAAATCTTCCAGAAACAACAATGATTCGTGCGATCCCCATCTTGACCGATCTCTTTAGAAGTTGAGGTCCGGTGGAAGAAGGAGGAAGAGAAGAGATAACATATGATCTAACAAATCTCACCTGACAGGTGGGGACTTAGTTGCTCTGTTCGCCTGCGTCAAACAGAGCAACCAATCGTTTCATAGAGCAAATAGCTTGGAAAAGAGTGGTTTTCGCTTGCTAGTTGCTTTGTTCGACTCCGAGTTGCTCTGTTCGCCTCCGTCCAACAGAGCAACCAAACGTTTGGCATGTGTCGGTTTTGTCTGGCAGGCCGATATGGTTGATGAGTACGATACTATTATTGTTATTACTACTACTACTACTACTACTGCTGCTGCTGCTGCTACTGCTGCTGCTGCTGCTACTGCTACTGCTACTGCTACTGCTACTGCTATTGCTACTACTACTACTACTACTACTCCTTCTACTACTACTACTACTACTACTACTACTACTACTACTAGAAGTATTAATAGTACGCGCGGGTTCCGCACGTTATGCGCGTCTGCGTTTCGCGCGGGTTCCGCCCGTGTTGTTCTGCGTGGGTTCCGCGCGCGTGGTCGCATTCAAATTTCTTAAAGAACTTAAAATATTACGGCGAATATTAGTACTACTTCTACTAATTGTTATTTAATCAATATTACGATCGTATCATTTCTACTACATCTATGATATTTTTATTATTACTACTACTGCTGCGTTTACTTGGGAACCTTTACATAATAATCTTGGGAACCTTGACAACCTTTACTTGGAAAACTTGGGAACCTTGCAGGGAACCTTGAAGGAACCTTGAGGGAACCTTTTGGGAACCTTGAGGGAACCTTGAGGAACCTTGGGAACCTTGAGGGAACCTTGGAAACCTTGGGAACCTTTACTTGGGATCCTTTACTTGGGAACCTTTACTTGGGAATCTGGGAGCCTTTACTTGGGAACCTGGGAACCTTTACTTGGGAACCTTTACTTGGAACCTGGGAACCTTGGGGGAATCGGTTTTGGAGCTGCTCCGGTCTGCTCCGAAACCTTTACTATGGCTGAAGACCCCAAAGCATTCTGCTGTTGGGGAAATATGAATCACACATAAACTAAGATGTCTACTCGAATTCTAATCGATCCTGCATAAGAGCGACAGTTTCTTTGGCGGATTCCTGCCAGGACACAGTGGTCAGGAGAATCTGAAGACCATTATGGGTCCCAGGCCCAGCTTTGTTTGTCGAAGCGTCAAACTCAGCATTTCATGCATCAAACTCTGTGGTTTAATCAGTTACTAGTGACTCATATGTTTCATATTAGTTCAATATGTTTAATGCAACCAAATACGAGCAAAATATCCAGCAATTTGTGGGCCAAGGGGAACCCAATTTTTTGAAATCGCCAGGCCACAGGTCCCACCGTCGAGTCCCGTTGTGTGGCCAGGTGGTGGATGCGACTGCTTCTGCCACTGCCGGGGAAAGTGGACATGGGTACTGGGCTTGGTGAGATATACACTATATATATATGTATCACCAGATAATAATTATGTAAATGATTATATGATTGCATATGACTGTTTATAGATAGATATACATATGCGCTGTTATATATTGATCAACATATACACAATATATGTATATATATATACATATTTATTTTGTAATATGTAATATATCACATATTATGTATATATGGCTCTATTTTCAGCTTATGTTTTTGCTCCAAGTCTTCAGCGACACCGATGTCTGCTGAGATCACATGCTGATGCCTCCGCCCAGTGGAGAAGGCATTGCGGCCTTGAAAGAACGGATTCAACAAGTGCAGGCTCCGGGATTGACGAGACACTGGCACAGATGCACTGCACAGAGATGGCTGGAAAAGAGACACATACACCGTACACGCCATGGATGCTTTCAAGTGACGATTCAAGTGTTTTGTTTGAATAGATTTGTGAAAGCATTGGATGTCTTAAAGCTTCTGTGCTTCTGCTCATGGCAGACCGATGGCGTCAAGCAAGAGGTCAAGACATCTCCTTAGTTCCACCGGCCTTAAATTTTGGAAGGTTCTCAATTTTGGTTGTTGAGGGATTGCAAGTTTGAATTATTCTACACAGACAACATGTACATCATCCACCGATAGGTGGATTGACCAAGCTTGCACTTTCTACACGCACCAAGGAATTGTCAGGAGTTGGGATTTGATCCTGGCCCTAGGTCAGATCAAACGGTGTGAGACAGGGGTCGTGTACAAAACGTCCTAACCCCTTCGGTCTTGGTAGGTCGCCTGATCAAAACACGAGCTGAAGCTTTTTTGCATCAGATTTGCCACAAAGACGCAACATATGTGTCATTTGCCACAACCACGTATTGTAACATTGTAGACAGCCGTTCAAAAGTAGTTTTTCAGCACTCCAGCGCTGTCTTAGGATGGTTTCAGCATCAAAACGCAAGTTTCTGTCATGAGCGCCAAAACGTTTCATGAAGCAATCCGAGTGAAGATGTTCTGCCGTTGGTGAGCTGGCTCAAGCTTTACATACATAGATTTGGGTAGATCTTTGTTTTTTTTCGCCTCCAGATCCAGCTCTAATATCTCGGCCCCAACGTCCCAGCTGAGCCTCTCTGCCATAGCCATCATAGCCGCGTTTTTCAATTGTCAACAAAAACAGCCAGTCATAGCGTTGGTTATGGCCTAAAGAAACCGCGGCATGCCAGTGGCCCTGAGCTCAGCGCAATGCTGGTGGTATTTTGTAGCGCAGAAGAGATGGTTTTTACAGTAGCACATCTGGGCAAGCGATAGAGTTTAAGTGTTTTTTCGACAGTTGGGAGTTGGGATGTGAATTGGTGACTTGGGATGGTTTACTGAAATGGCACATCATATATCAACGATCCATATGCAACCATCTCCATTGGACCATGTCTACTTGCCATGGGTGACATTGCCAGCACAGTCAGCACAGTGGTTGAGGCATCCTCTAGAGGCCAGCCTTGGTGGGGCGGTGAGCGCCAAGACGCGCAAAGGTTTTGACGAAGAACTGCAAAGTCATCGAGTCGTCGTCACTTTATCATGATAATCATCTGGTTACAGATCTTTATATGTCTTAATCCACCACACATACACACAAACCCTTGCACACACATCCATGATTCATGATCATGGTAAAATAACACGTAAGATCACCCTCTTCATCCTTTTCACAGCATCCACAGCATCCACGGCATCCACAGCAGCGACATGACTGGGATAGAGATCTCCAGGTGCTGAGCATGTGGTCTGGGGGGCTCCAGAGATCTCCAGCTCGAGTGAATGCGAATCGGGCTCAGCTGGCTCAGACTTAAGATCTTTCGACGGAAAGGCTGGAGCGGCTGGGGCCATTGCGTTTTGGGGGCACGGGAACTCCGTTCAGAAGGCAACGAAAGACCCCAAGAAGGTCTGACAAAAGCTACATGATTGATGCGGATGACTTTTGGAAACTTTTAGATGGTTGATTCCTCAACCAGGTGGAAAGAACCATTCATTTTTGATTGTTGGGTGCTGCATGGTGCTGCCAATTCTGTATCTCAAATGCTGGAATGTTTGTGGAGGGCCGAAGCGGCAGCCGCAGTAGCAGCAGAAACAGCAGGAGAAGTGGATGAGGTGGGTTGATGGTAAGCTTACATGTGATATTGACGTGATATTGATGTGATGTGTGATCTGTGTATGGGAAGACGTCACGTTCCCCCTGTGGCACGGTTCCAAGCGTTTGGAGATCGGATTGGAGTTGGGATGGCATTCCAAAGCTAAGCATTCGCTAGTGGTCCGAGTAAGTAGGCTCAATGATGGTCCCATGCAGCACAGTGTGTCAAGGAGAAGGGAATTGGAAGGTGCTCAAAGGCATTTCCATTCCCTCGGCAACAGACAGCAAGGCTCAGAGGACCAGCAGCTAGATCCACTGGACTCAATTGTGGTGAATTTGGTACCTCTCAAAGTGTTTTAATCACGATGGTTCAGTGATGTTCAGTGTAATCCATGTGAAACATGTTCAAGCAGTGTGGGAAAGCCCACTTTGGCATTTTTTGGCTAAGAGAACATGCTCGGATCAAACATAGCTTTTGGACAATGCTGTTTTCATTTTTCATCTGGAAATCGGGTAGCCCTTGATTTCCCGTTCCTCATCATTTCCCCGACCAGGACGGCCGGAGGCATCATCAGGTGATGAGCAGCGTCATGTCCAATGCTGTTTGGAGCTTGGACCGTGTCATTTTGGTCGGATTTGGGGGTTCCCCAAAAGGGACGTCCATAGGAAAACTATCGGAAAACTATGGGAAAACTATGGGAAACATATGGATTTTGGAGTAGTTGCATATATGATTTTCTCCATAGTTCCACCATTTTCAAATCTATTTATGATGTTTTTTCAGTGAATGAAACCTTGATATTCCTTGACAGGAGTGAGCAAATGATGGTACCAGGGTTTCTTCTGTTGCTTGGATCGATTGTTAGACTTCCCTAAACCATTTGGTTTTGTCCAAACACGTGGTATTTGCGCAGTATCCCAAACTTCAATCTCCAAATAAACGATCCTTTTCGCATTCTGAATATATACGGCAATTTGGGGGGTATACACCATGCCTGGTAGACTCCTCAGTTTTGATTGCTAAATCAGCAGTTTTTCCCCAACAGCGTAAGCTAATGGGGTCTTCAGCCCAGAATAGCTCCGGTGTGCACTGGTGCAGGCGCCGGGTCAGGTTCAACGAGGTTCCGGAAAAGGTCTGGGAGGTTTTGGTGCAGAGCCGGCTCACGTTCAACAGGGTTCCGGAGAAGGTTCCGGAGAAGGTTCCGGAGAAGGTTCCGGAGAAGGTCTGGGAGGCTTTGATGCAGAGCCTCAACAGGGTCCCGGAGAAGGTTCCTGAGAAGGTTCCAGGAAGGCTTGGTTCCGGAGAAGGTCCCAGAGAAGGTTCCGGAGAAGGTCGGGGAGGCTTTGGTGCAGAACCAAGTTCTGGAGAAGATTTGGGAGGCTTCGCTGCAGAGCTGGGAGGCTTTGGTGCAAAGCCAGGTCAGGTTCAACAGGGTTCCGAAGAAGGTTCCGGAGAAGGTCTGGGAGGCTTGGTGCAGCCAGGTCAGTCCAACAGGGTTCCGGAGAAGAAGGTTCCGGAGAAGGTCCGGGAGGCTTTGTCAGGTTCAACAGGGTTTCAAGTCTGGGAAGCTTTGGTGCAGAGCCAGGTCAGGTTCAACAGGGTTCCGGAGAAGGTTCCGGAGAAGGTGTGACTGTGGGAGGCCTTGGTGCAGAGCCAGGTTAGGTTCAACAGGGTTCCGGAGAAGGTTCCGGAGAAGGTTCCGGAGAAGGTTCCGGAGAAGGTTCCGGGAGGCTTTGGTGTAGAGCCAGGTCAGGTTCAACAGGGTTCCGGAGAAGGTTCCGGAGAAGGTTCCGGAGAAGGTCTGGGAGGCTTTGGTGCAGAGCCAGGTCAAGTTCAACAGGGTTCCGGAGAAGGTTCCTGAGAAGGTTCCAGGAAGGCTTGGTTCCGGAGAAGGTCCCAGAGAAGGTTCCGGAGAAGGTCGGGGAGGCTTTGGTGCAGAACCAGGTTCTGGAGAAGATTTGGGAGGCTTCGCTGCAGAGCTGGGAGGCTTTGGTGCAAAGCCAGGTCAGGTTCAACAGGGTTCTGGAGAAGGTTCCGGAGAAGGTTCTGGGTGGCTTTGGTGCAGAGCCAGGTCAGGTGCAACAGAGGTTCCGGAGAAGGTCTGGGAGGCTTGGTGCAGCCAGGTCAGGTCCAACAGGGTTCCGGAGAAGAAGGGTTGGAGAAGGTTCCGGAGAAGGTCCGGGAGGCTTTGTCAGGTTCAACAGGCTTTCAAGTCTGGGAAGCTTAGGTGCAGAGCCAGGTCAGGTTCAACAGGGTTCCGGAGAAGGTTCCGGAGAAGGTTCCGGAGAAGGTTCCGGGAGGCTTTGGTGTAGAGCCAGGTCAGGTTCAACAGGGTTCCGGCGAATTTTCCGGAGAAGGCTTGCTTGGCCTTTCAACTCACGGAAACCAAGCTGAGGTGCATCGAGGCTGCTTCGCAGCACGCTTCAAAAAGACTTGTAAAAATCCAACCTTTCGGCTGTTGGGGATACCGCCGAAGCTTATTTTCATGGTGAAAATCACTATTCTTGATAGTGACATCACCATTTTTGATAGTGAAACCATCGCTTTTGATGGTGAGATCACCATTTTTCCAATCCACCCATTCCACTCCGAAACGCTTAGCGGCTCCCGAGACATCCACGAGCACCGAGAGCCACAGTCCAAGTTTGTCGAGGAGAGACCGGAAGGACGGGTCCCGCCAGCTGGAGGATCGGGGAAGATGTATATAATGTTTGAGTTTAGAACATGTATATGATATGATATGCATATAACATGTATATAGTATGTATACTAAAATTTGTTGCTCAATTAATTTGTGTGATGAGTCCGATGAGGTTTCAAGCTACATTTTTTTTTGGGGTGCTGCGAGAGTTGGAAAAGAACATGAAATCGCTTGGAAACGGCCGACATCGGTCAGAGCGGTGGCTGTTGGATTTCTTCTGGGCCAATGTCCAGGATCAACCACCTTCGCCGAAGTTCCGGAAGGTCTGGTGAGACTTGGTAAATTCGGGGGATTCTTTCAGCCTCCCAAATTGCCAAAATTCACCGGAAACTCATGGCGCAGTCAGTTCTCAATCACCTCAACGGATTATGTTGTGTCCACTAAGCCGTGAGATGTGCATAGTGGCCTTCGTCTCAAGCCTTCAAGATGGTGACGAGCACCAACTTGGTGGATACTCTCCATGCAATGTCTATTTCCAGTTTCTCATAGCTGACTCTTCAGTGATTCCTTGGAGATTCACGCTTTTCTTCCACTTCTTTTTCCGCTGGCAGATCAGGCCGAGTGGGATGGCTTTTACCGAAAAATGAAAGAGCTGTCCAAAGCCTCACGTGACAGTGAAGTGCCGGCTGACAGGCCGAGGCCTGGAAAACAGCGGAAAAAGGGTGGCATTTTTTGACTTCCAAACTTTTGTGTCCAACTTCTGTGCTTCCCACCTTAAAGACATGTCAATAGTTAACTGACATCATTGTCGCAGTAATGATGATGATGATGATGATGAATATGATGATGGTGATGATGATGATGATAATGATAATAGCAACAAAATAATCATAGTAGTAATATGTAGTAAACAAATGTAACGAACATAATGACATAATCATCATCATCGTCACCGTTGGTGCGCGTTCTCCGCCCCGGATCCGGCCCCAGGGCGTGGGATCCGACGGCTCCGATCGAAGAACTCAAAAAACTCTTGGAGGAAGATTTTGAAGTGCTGCTCTCAACAGATTCTGACATAAACAAAAACCAAAAACATCTTACATGATGATAAAAACTCGGTGGATTCATCGTTGAAAATATTGGAAGACAGTCTTGACATGTATACAATCTATTCATATTTATTTTAACTTGTTGTTTGAACATATTCGATTGGCAGTACTTCAAATCCGCAACTCCGGGGCCCAGGGCGTTTGCGCCTTCTTGGAAGATCCAGAACGTGCTGAAGCTGAAGAGACAGAAAGTGAAGCTGATGCCACAGTTCCCGAAGGTGAAGGCTGGACCATGGCTGGGCGATGGTCAACATGGGGGTTTCAATGAAGTTGCACCATTTTCAGGTGGTAATTGATGGCTTCAGTCTGATTTAGATGTTTTTCATTTTTTTCCTTTGCTTGTGAGGCCCCACGTGCTGGCCACATTTTTTGAAACATAGAAATGACCAATGAGTTCTACGTTCACTGCTCCTTTTCCGAGCCAAACTCATTGCCCTGCGAGGCGAATGGTCAGTGGGATCTGAAGGTCATGCCCAAGGCCAATGCAGGCACCTTTAGCTACAGATAACGTGGCAGCTTTCTCTGGTTGCACATGCTGATTTGGGCTTATGCTCGTCGAAAACATGTTTGGAGCCTTCAATTGCAAACTACAATCCACCCTGGATTGAACAACTCAGGGTCCTCACAAAGATAGAAAGGTCAACCTAGATCGAATTAGTCACGAAACTTTAGTGGCTGTGGCTCAATCCCGCCGGGGAACACCGTCGGCATGTCGCCACCGGCAGCAAATTCGGCAGCCTCCGCATCCTCAGCGTTGTCTTTTCATGCCAAGCTCCCTGCCAAATTCGGCAGCTTTCGTCCCTTACCTCTGGGCCTCAATTAGGGAATCAATTTTCCAAGGCTACTTCCGGTCCATTAGCCAGCGTGTCCTCGCTTCTTGTCAATTGAAGCTATGGTGGAGTCAGGATCCATCAAGGCCAACAATGTCTTGCTGAAGCTTACTGCTGAGGCGGATATGGTCCACAGACTGAATCAGCTGAAGGATGCAGTCAACCAAAACAAGCCTGGGGATTTGGCAAACCAGCATTCTCAAGCCTCCTCAGGCGATGCTTGCAAGATTATTCAAGACTTGGTGCCTGCAAGTGACCTGCTAGGGTCCGACCGTTTGGAGTAGTTGAAGGAGGCTCACAGTGGACAGGAACAAGTGGAGCAGAAAGCCGCAACATCAAAGAAGACCCCAGGAGCATTGGCCGCTGAATGCAACAAGACAGATGCGTCAGCTTCGACTTGGACTATGAAGAACCATCTCTCAGCAGAGCTTTTAGAGCTGAATGGTTGGAGGAGGTGGAGTCCAATGAGTCCAATGCTCTGGCGATCCAAGACCCTCGAGCAGATGAGAGCTGCGCTGGAGCAGCTGACGGTTGGTTCTGAAGCTTCGGTCCCAAAATTCAGAGGTTCATGGTGAGATGAGATGACCCTTCCAAAATGGACTTTGGATCCAGGTACACTCGTGAGTCGCGTGCTGTCTGTGCTTGGTGTGAGTGAAGCTCCTTTGACCCTCTTCCCAGGCTGGACAGCCTGCAGGGCCCAGAGCTGTAATATTTGGACTCCTGGCATAGCCAGGACTTTTTTTCGCGGTCCGTGCTATGCAGCCTTCACTTAGCTGGGCACCTCTGTCTCGACCTTAAGGAAGACGCGAAGGAAAAGAGAAGGGACCCACTTTTGGATGGAGGGCCATTTATTTAGGGATTTTTTTTTTTTAAGTTTAGGGATTTTTTTTTGGATTTCTTCCTGCTTACTCTATTGCCTCCTGCAGTGCTTCTCTGCTTCTTTGCTTCTATTCCTTTTTTTGTTTTTTTTGCTTTTCTTTGCTTTTTTGCTTTTTTGCTTCCCTTGCTTTTCTTTGCTTTTTTGCTTTTTTGCTTTTTTGCTTTTCTCGCTTTTCTGCTTTTTTTTGCTTTTTTGCTTTTCTTGCTTTTCTTTGCTTTTTTGCTTTTTTGCTTTCCTTGCTGTTCTTTGCTTTTTTGCTTTTCTCGCTTTTCTGCTTTTCTTTGCTTTTTTGCTTTTCTTGCTTTTCTTTGCTTTTTTGCTTTTTTGCTTTTCTTTGCTTTTTTGCTTTTCCATGAGGTGTGGAGCAACATCTTCTATCCATCTATATCCATCTATATCTATCTATATCTATCTATATCTACGTATCTATATCTATCTATGTCTATCTATATCTGTATCTATATCTACATCTATGGCTGTATCTATATATCTATATACCTATATATATATCATATATCTATATAATTATCTATATATCTATATATCTATATATATATATCTCTATATATATATATCTATATATCTATATATATCTCTATATATCTCTATATATATATCTATATATTTCTATATATCTCTATATATATCTATATCTAGATATCTATATACATATATATCTATCTATCTATATATCTATCTACCTATCTATCTATCTATCTATCTAATTATCTATCTATCTATCTATCTATCTATACATATCTATCTATATATCTATATATCTATATCTCTCTCTATATATATACTATATATCTATATCTATATATATATATCATCTCTATATATCTATATCTCTCTCTCTCTATATATATATATTTATATACCACCATATATCTATATATCTGTATATATCTATCTATATTTCTATATGTATATATACATATATCTTTATATCTATATATCTTTAAATATATATATCTATTTATCTATATATCTATATCTATATATATATCTGTATATATATATATATCTACCTAAAAGGTTTGCATTATCATGCGGATGATATTCAAACCCCAAGCCAACCCTGAACCAAACCTTATATAAATAGATCTTAAACCAACTCGATGATAACATCAAATGAAACTATTGTGCATCGTTGTGCCTTAACCTACATTCCACATGTTTCCAAGGTGCATGTCGTGTAGTATATACACCTTGAGTATCACATTCAACCTAGCACCTTGCATGTGAAAATAGGTGTTTCCAATCTGCTTTGGGGGGGAGGCGCTGCGCCCTCCCCCCAATCCCCCCCTCCCGTTTTTTTTAATTTAAATTCAAGCTTGCACACATTTCAATACACTACTTTGGTTAGAATATATATATATATACATTGTATATATATATATATTGTATATATATATATTGTATATATATATATATATTGTATATATATATATATTGTATATATATATATTGTATATATATATATATTTATATATTGTATATATATATATTGTATATATATATATATTGTATATATATATATATTGTATATATATAACAACACTAACAACACTAACAACACTAACACTAGCAACACTAACAACACTAACAACACTAACGGTAACAACAACAACAACACCAACAACAACACCACCAACACCAACACCAACAACAGTAACAGTAACAACAAACAACTGTTGGAATGTCAGCCTTCAGCTCCAAAATCCTGCAAGTACTGTGAGGAATGTAGCTGTAAAATGTTGCACATACGGTGGAAATGCAGATTCCAGCTCAAAAATGCTGCAAAGAGCATGGAAAATGGACAGAACATGCTGCAAACTGTTGCAAATACCGTGGAAAATACAATGGAAAATGAGAGGTTCGAACTCAAAACCGTTGCACATACCGTGGAAATGGCAGTTTCCAGCTCCAAAATGCTGCAAATAGCATGGAAAATGGTGAGAACCGGAAATCCAAAAAAAATTCCGCAAAAACAATTTCCTACCCCTTTTGGATTCTTTTGGGTCGTTGCCGAGCTTGGATGTCTTGACAGCACTCGTGTCACTAGTGCCATGCTGTTGATGTTTTTCCTGTCAGGCCATGTCACTATGCAGCGTGCTCAGTTCTCCGAGCTTTCAGTTTTGGGTTTGCCTTAGCGAATGGTTTGATTAGTGACATTGGTGATGGTTTCTGGATGTTTCTGGATTGGCTTTTGCTTTGGAGGCGCATTGATGTGGGGTTTCACCGATCATCCCAAAGAGTTGGAACCAGAGAAAACACATTGACTGAAAGGAAACCATTTGGACATCAGGAAGTGTCACAAAGTTTGGTGATTCAGATCCCCTTGTGCTGCCCTAGCATTACATCAAAAGAGAAGTGGTAATCCACTGCTTTCTGCATAGCTTGAAAAGTGCATTGAAGATTCAACAGAGACTTGTTTGGATGCTTGGGCTACTGCAATGTGAAAATCAGGTTTGATGCAAGGTTGTTGCTGGATATATGGTCTTCTGTTGCTGCAGTCCCTTTATTATTCTTTTTTCCCAGCTTACTTTCAACAAGGTTTTTGCGAAGACTGGCTGCCAGAATGGTCGGGAGTGGTTATCTCAGTGTTCAAGGGAGGCCGTGGTTTGATGATGCTAGCATATTTGGACCGCGGACAAAGGATGCTGCAAGTGATTGGCAAGATAATTGACGTAGGAAAGGAGGATTCAGTGCAAGCAAAAGGCCACGGATGTGCAAGATGACTTTATCGAATTGACTTCCGACAATATGGACAGATGAAGCAGCAGAGGCGAGAACAGTCAGAGAAGAGAATGAGTCAAAAGAGAAAGAGACTGTCGACGTAAGATCAAGGTGGGCGCGAAAAGGTAGAAAAGTCATGAAACACTGTTTTTTTCCAATGTTTGGCGCCTCCGGAGGGTTGAAAAGTAGGCTCGGTAAAGCTGCGGGTGCACAGCCATCTGGGCAGATGGTGCAGAGCCATCTCGGAACGCTTTTGGAAGTTACGACGTTGAAAAAGGGCACGCGCCTGTGGCACGAAGCACATTTGGACGTCAAAATGGTAAAAACGCACCATTGTCGGAGCACTTTTGGAAGTTCAGCTGTTGAAAAAAATACGACGTTGTGGCACGAAGCACATGTCGAAGTCAAAACAGTAAAGCACTTCTGTGTCAGAGCGCTTTTGGAAGTTGAGGTCTTCAAAAAGTGCACGCAGCTATGGCGCGAGGCAAAAACACCACAGCCAACGCTCATGACCTCGTAAACTGATCCTATGTAAAGATTGGTTTCGGATTGATTTCTCCCCATTGGAAATTCACATTAATGGCTTCATAAATTGGTTCTATGTAAAACTTGCGCACCTCGCTGATCTTCGACTCGGTTGAATCTGGCCTGGATCAGGGCTGGACAGGCGGTCTCAAGGAATGTGAGCATAACACCGACTGTGTTTTTGGGATGGTCAATAATTCCATAGCATCCATGCACCCCGATTTCTGGACAAATCCTTGTAGTCAGGTAGCATAACAGACTTTTGGCTATAGAGGCAAACACGGCAGTGGAAAACGTTCCCATTATCTCATTATCTTGGATCTCTAGATCATGAAGCAAAACGAAACTCTATGACTCTATGTGCCTGATAGGCTGATGTGCATGTAGATATGATGCGCATAATTATATTTTCAGTTGTCGTTCTGGGGCATCAAAGCGGATTACTGTGGTAAGCTCAACAAGAATTTGCACCCATTGCGAGCCGCCGTGACAGGAGCAGCATGATGGTCGCCACAACCCCTTCATCTGCCGCGTGCCTCCTCAGCCGACTGATCTTCGTACGGCGGCTAGCCTTGCATGGGCGATTATCTTATTGCTGCTGCGCCAAGGCGCATCTTGAGGTGGCTCGGCTATCCCGAGGTTGATCAGGAGCATCTGGTGGGGGCAAGTCACTTAACCTGAACTACCTATAGTATTATTGAACTTGCAACGGCTGGGGATAGTTCACCTCATTCAACCGTCTGAACCCTAGGAGTGGTAATGCTGGCGATGCTGTAATGTTTGAAACCTGGCCTTAAAACATGTTATATAGTTAAAGTAGTCATGCTCAAAAAAGAGCCGCCATCGGTAGCGGAGGTGTTTGAATGATGGGCAAACCGGGCCTACCCCTAGTAAGGGCACATTGGTATTCGATTCACGGTTTCAAACCTGCCGTAACCATGGAGATTTACTGGCCTGTTTCGTCGACGGAATTTATTCTAACTTCATTTTGCCATGCAGATCATTGACTGGCATTGTGACGGGGAAAAAACACGTAATAATATGGGAAAAAACGCCGGATAACATTGATGGTGCCCTCTCAGCTACTGGCGAGCAGGCTGCGGGTTGTCTACTGCGGCCGGGAAGCGAGGGTCCGCAGGGCGCTGGAGGAGTTGTCCTCCCCCGCCCGGGCAAGCCAACTCCTGGCCGACACGCGCCAGTCTCCGCCAAGGAGCTGGCAGCCTCGGAGCGCTTCTGAAGATGAGAGGTTGAAAATTGCATGCGGTTGTGGCGAAGCGCGTGTCGAAATCAAAATGGTAAAAGCAGACCAGGTTTGTAGTACTTTCTTTTCCTGGCAGGGGTAATGGATTCTGCACCTTGTTAAGCGTGAGCCAAACGTGTGGGTTTTGCAGTGCTTCCAAAAACGATGGCATGCGTGGGATTTTGAAGAGGAGCTGCAAAGATGCATTTTGCGTGGCCGGGGCAGTACAAGAGACATTTTCATCAGAGATGTTAGGGGGTCAGGACGCTGATTTCATGAGACGGGTTGCATTTTGGAGCATCAGATCTCCAGGTTTGCTCAGATGATTTTGCGTGACAGGTGCAGCGCTTCGTATCACTTTTATTTTTCGTGGCAGGCGCAATACTTGAGACACATGGGGTGGAAAAATCGCAAAACGCATTGGTACGAGGCCTTCGGCTGCACTCAAATTTCTATTTTTGAAGGAAGTCTCGCAGAATGCTTCGTTTTTGATGTTGTCAATTTCAACTTGAAAAAATCGCGCAGAATTGTTTCGTTTTTTTTGAGGAAGTCGTAGACTTGCTTCGTTTTGTTCACGTCAACCTCCACTCTTGACTCTTGAAGGAATTCTGGCAGAGTTGCTCTCTTTCAGGTAGAAAGATGGATGGATGGATGGGCGGATGGATGGATGGATGGATGGATGGATGGAGAAAGCCATAGATAGAGATAAAGAGAAGAATAGAGATAGAGATGGAGATAGCAACCACAGGAAGTTTAGAAGTCAAACTTCTGACAAGGACAGGTGCAGCAACAGTGGTGGGAGCAGTCAGAGAAGAGATACAATCAGAAGAAAGAAGATTAAAGTGGCCGAAAAGGTAAAAAAAAGTCGCAATGCATTGTGTTTTTCTAATGTTTTCTGGTTCCGGAGGGTCGAAAAGGTGGCTTGCCAAAGCAGTGGGTGCGGAGCCATCTGGGGAGATGAGAAATGAAAAATTGCATGCCGTTGCGGCGCGAAACACATGTGGAAGTCAAAATGTTCGAACTTAGAACCCACCCACCATTGTCGGAGCATTTTTGGAAGTTGAGAGGTTCAAAAAGTGCACGTGGCTGTGCCGTGAAGCACATTTTGAAGTCAAAATAGTAAAAACACCTCATGATTGGAGCATTTTTGGACGTTGAGATGTTGAAAGATTGTGCGCGGCTTTAGTGCGAAGCACATGTCGAAGTCAAGCTTTCAAAACCGCCGCAGTGTCCCAGCACTTTTGGAGGTTGAGCTGCTGAAAAAGGGCACGCAGCGGTAAACACCAGAAAAACGTATTTCAAATTTCGAAGTCAAAGTGGCAAAAGCACCACATGTTCGGACCGCTTTTGGAAGTTGAATTTTAATTTTTTCCTGGCAGGCGCAATGGAATCTGCACCTTGCCAAAAGTGACAAACTGTGTGCATTTTATCGTAGTATCAACACCAATGACAGGGGTGAGGCCTTTGAAGAGGAGTTTCGCGTGGCAGGTGCAGTACAAGAGACATCTTCATTTGAGATGTTAGGAGGTCAGGACGCTGATTTCATGAGAGGGGTTGCATTTTAGAGCATCAGATCTCCAGGTTTGCTCAGATGATTTTGCGTGACAGGTGCAGCGCTTCGTATGACCTGGCCTTATTTTTTTTTCGTAGCAGGCGCAATACTTTAGACACATGGGGTGGAAAAAATCGCAAAACGCATTGGTAGGAGGCCGTCGGCTGCACTCAAACTGCCATTTTTGAAGGAAATCTCGCAGAAGTGCGTCGTTTTTGTTTTGACCTTGTCAATTTCGAAAGATGAAGAAACCTCGCAGAATCTATTCGTTTTAGACTGGTTAGCTTTTACTTGTTCAGGAAGGCTCCCAGAATTCCTTTGTTTTGGAGCGGTGCGCATCCATTTTTTTGAGGAAGTTTCGCGGAATTTTGTCGTTTCAGATAGACAGAATAGTTAGATAGATCGATCGATAGATCGATAGATATTGATCGATAGACCGATAGACCGATAGATCGATAAATCGATAGATCGATAGATCGATGGACCGATAGATCGGTAGATCGATAGATTGATAAAGATCGATAAATCGATAGATTGATAGATAGAGAGGTAGAGAGGTAGAGGAGGCAGAGAGAGGTAGAGGAGGCAGAGAGAGGTAGAGAGGCAGAGGGAGAGGTAGAGAGGTAGAGAGGTAAAAGAGGTAAAAGAGGTAAAAGAGAGGTAGAGAGGTAGAGAAGAGAGCGGTAGAAAGGTAGAGAGAGAGAGAGAGAGAGCGAGGGAGGGAGGGAGGGAGGGAGGGAGGATATAGATTAGATTCGATTAGATGAGTTTAGATTAGATTATATTGACTAGATTCCATTCGATTCGATTACATTAGGTGAGATTAGATGAGATTAGAGTAGATCAGAGGAGTGTAGAGGAGAATAGAGTAGAGTAGTGTAGATTAGGTTAGAGTAGGGTAGGTCAGATTAGAGTAGAGTAGAGTAGATTAGAGCAGAGTAGATTAGATAAATCGATAGATAGACAGACAGGAAAATAGATAGATAGCTAGCCAGAAAGATAGATAGAGAGAGAGAGACACACACACACAGAGAGAAGGAGACAGAGAGGGAGAGAGAGACACACACACAGAGAAGGAGACAGGGAGAGACTAAGAGCTTCAACGACCCTGCGGTCCAACAGTGGGTTCACTCTGACATCGATGCATCACAGCAACGAACCTGTCCTGTAGGTTTCCTATCTTTGAAACTTCCGCCACCGCCCTGTGCGGTACTACTGGCACTAAACTACGCAGCCTCCCGCAACACACACACACAAACACAAACACAAACTCAAACACAGACCTAGCACACTCAGCACAAATATACTTGCATTGTGACATCGATGGATGCTCCCCAAAGATCATGGATGGTGTCCGAGTGGAGTATGAATATTGATCGAAAAAAACATGAAGGCATAGTAATACGCTGAATCAATTTGAATCAGACATGACATGTCAACGGGACTGAAACTTGTAAATTTTGTTTGTAGATCAAAGGATTCTAGTGAAGTACCTTGGCATAGCATAATTGAGTTTGATTGGCCTTGCGTTTCCTTGGTTTGAGGTGCAATTTTTGTCATCTGCCACACCCAAAACGTTTCAGACCGAGACCGTGTAAGTCGGCAACTGAGTTTCTGGTCAGTGTTGGGAAATTCTTCAAACTGTGCGAACTTTGTTGGACAAATTTGCCCGTGACTTGCTGCGGCAAACAAAAATAATCAACTACTTTGCGAAACATGACCAGTTTCACTGCATTTTGGCAAAATTACAGGCACTCACGAGTTCAATCTGTGGGTGTCCATCCCCATTGATTTGGCTTACACACGATGACTATGCCTGTCATGACCTTTGCAGTTGATATGGCCGTGGGTCAAAGATTGAGAATCAGGGGAGCTGTGATTTTGCCATTTTTGGTAGTGTAGTAGTAAGCCATCACATGTCATTGTACCCAATTATGATCCCATATCTTTCGGGTCCCAAGATGGGTTTATCATCAGATTCCTGGTCCCAGCCATAATTTGGGGCTACATCCTATAGGTTTCCCCATGATACCCTGGAGAAGATGAGATGTTTTCAGCTAACGCTGAGGTCCAAACGCTTCAAATGCAAACAGCTCGCTGCAGTTCTCGACCAGGTGCTGCGGCCGGAACCAGATGGACACATGTTCTGGAGCTTTTGGTGGTGCCTGGTAGTAAACCGTCCAATGTTCATTTTTTGTGGAAGACAAAGTTGAGCGGACAGAAGAATCAAATTTTGATGGTCCTGGGCCCAAACTTGGACTGGCCGAACTTGGCTTCAATTTGGGTGCCTTTCACGCTGCAGGTGCTTGATGATGACCCCGACTCGTTCCAAAATGTGGTTGAACAACTTAGTTCGCAAGGCGCAGAACCCGTGCTGCGATGACAAGCTTTGCATATTTGATATGAGCTGTTTACTGTTTGATGGTTTGGTACCAGGACAAAAAGGAATGACCGTGTGAAAAATGCGAATCGGCGGCCCTTGGCCCCCTTAACATCCCTTGGCATCCCTTGGCCAAGATCCGCCCAACTTGGTGAGGTGGCTATCTCAACACCGTGGTGAAGAGCAAGCTCCGCACCATGGCCAAAAGGTCTGCAAAAAGTGAGGCGGGCCCCAGGGAATTGATCGGGATGAGTCAAAATTGGGGTACCACCAAAAATGAATAGTTGATTCATGCTAGCACAACCCAAAAAGATAGACCAGTGGTTGCTATAAGATCATCAAGCGCATTTTTTTCAACTGACCTCGTTTTCTCCAATGCGGCAATGATGGATTTTCCAGACCAGGCAAGAAAAGGGCTTTGTTTCTAAGCTCACACCACTGAACTGAGCAAGCACCAGCAAGAGCTACCTTTGAAACAAAGCCAGTTAAACCCAGGGATCGAAATTTGCAAAAGCGATATGTTCCTCAGTGGCAACCTTCCAATCATTTGTGTCTGTTTTTGTGTCTATATTTGTGTCCATGGAGTCCATGGAGTCCATGGAGTCCATATCCTTAGTGGGGAAGACGGGATGATCGTCTAACGTCCAACGGCCCAACGGTTCGGATTTTCGCAGGCCAGAAGCTCCGCCGACACAGCGGGGTATCCGGGAAGGGGCTCTGAGTTGCCGAGCCAGCCTTGTGGCGCTTCCGCAATAGAGGCCGAGCGCTTGTGGATTGAACATGATTGACCCATGCATTTTGTAGGATGTTGACCCGATCGGCCGATACCCTAAAGTTGTAAGGGATGGCGATTTCTCATTTTGTTATTGCAATGATTCTATCTCTCAGACATAAAGTATTTTTGGAATGAAACACCCGCAGTTTCAGGGGGTAAAGACAATTGATTGAGAATTTGAATGCGCAGGCAAGTATCAGAGGGTAGCCCACTATAGCGAGCTAGATGCGCTGCACAATCTGACGACATGAAACTCAAAATTCACAGAAAGGTGTTGGCAAATTGGCAAATGCAAAGCGAAAGTGTCGGCACATAGGCCTACCCGAAGTTGATGTGGGCACTTGTCAAGGTCATCAGTAAAAAAATGATTCCGGAGAATCATTTCAGGTGTAGAAGATAGTGGAACTTCAATGGGCGAAACCTAGAAAGCGTAGAGGGTTCTGTGCCCTGACAGGCCAAACAAGTATTGAAGCCAGGCCTGGTTTCTCTGTGAGCTCTTTTTCCCTCTCCGAAGCGAGAGCGTTTCTGTACAGCTCCGAATGCGGGCCTTGGCGCTCCCCATTCAGCGCCGCAACCAGATTTTGATCACTGAGTCCTTGATTAAACCGAGTCATTTTTCAGTAGTCCTATCGGTTCTCTCCGGACCCAATTTGCCAATGCTTTGGAAAGATCGAAACACAATGAAACACCTGTGTATAGCACTGGGCAGCCATTGGGCGGTGCAGATCGCTTCAGGACAGAATCTGGAGGCTTGCATTTGTGCAAGCAGAACTAGAACTTGCCGCGCAGAAAGGATAAAAAGTCCTCGGTCAGGTACCAGGATACATAGCAATGTACATTGGTTCTTCAGCATGGTTTTCAGACCCGGCGCATGCTGTTAGAATCATCACCACTGGGGCTTCTGCAGATGGGAATAAGACCAGCAGGTTGAGATCAATGTTCTGTTGCTTGCATACCCTGACTGAATTTGATCCATACTGTACTTATGCGGTCAGGGACATAGTCAAAGGAAATGACTACATAGATATGTTCCAGCTATGCAGAAGTTGCCAGAGGTTCAGCTGGGTCTCATCGAATCCAATCTGGTGACCTCGCTTGGGTCGAATCGAACCAACAGCGAAACGGTCTCACAGCATCTGGTCTCGTCTCTGGCGGATTGAAGAGCAAAGCTCTCTAGCCAAAGATCACATGCCATCGGCATATTCTCATTGGCTGGCTCCAAACATTACCAAACTTGGACAGATTTTGATGATTTTGGGTGTACTGCGGTGCTGACAGCGCTTCTGCTCTGATTCTGTGCTGATGGTGATCTCATACAATTCAGTACTCAGAGTGAGGAGTTTGTTGCACCTGTTGGGCAGATGCAGAGAGGTGGAGCATGCCTTTAGTAGTTCGCATGAACAGGCACGTCCTTGAACCTCTAGGTGGCGGCACACGCCTAAAGCGCGGTGCGGATTGTGCTGATTCTCGCTGGTATTGGTGTCCCACATTCTAGAAGGTTTCATCGACCGTGCACGGTATTTCACGGGTCCCTTGGATCCCAGAGGAAGTCGTCCAGACCTGATTCTTTCCTTGGTAAAGTTCAATCATTTGCAAGTGAGCAGGTACACCTTATGACATGACATTTCTGAGCACGACTTCTCAAGGGCACATACATTTTCCGGTAGAGGCAGAAAAGAGATCCTTGGGGAAGTGCTGGGTTATATAGAGGAGATAAGGGAGAACCAGTGTATTTGCTTGGAAAAAGGACGTGTTACCGCGTTACCGTGTGTGTGTGTAACATCTGAATAGATGTAAAACTTCTCTCCTTTTCTTTCTTCTTTCCTCTCCCTTTTTAATAACGCAGGGGGCCACGGCTCCATTCATCAATCCGTGGCCAACGAAGCTACTGATGTTTGGAGAGGATATGCAGTCTGATCAACTGCACGTACCTGCTTTTTTCTGACATAGCAAGGGGCCAAGCGCAGAACCCCAAACACAATGATTTTATTTCTTCACGGTTGCCACAATCTGTATTTTCGCCGAGAAGTACTACAAGGGGATCTACTTTAGGTCTAATTGTCTAGGCTGGTTTGCATGTTACAGGACTCAGTTCCTGACGGATCTTTTCAAAGATCCTCCCCCGTCTAGTGTGATTCCTATGGTGACTCCGACAAGGTGCCATAGGGCCAATTGAGGCAACCCTGTTTAGGGTGACTGTCGACTGACTTGACTTTCGAATTCACACATTTTAATCTGGTAATTTGTTTAAGTAAAACGAAACAGTTGGCCTTACTGTTATGCGCCTTTTGCGAAGTCCCGCGGATCCGGCTGTCCCTTGAAATCCTTTGGAAAAGCTTCTCTACTGCGTGAAGCCGTGGTGAACATTCAGAAACTTCTTTCTATGATTACTGCAGCTCCAGCTTGTGACATTCATGACAACAGGCAAGGCAGGTTCATGCTTGCAGGTTTGGTGACTCTTTCTTTTCTTGGTTGTCTGGTGAGGTCAAACATATTGTGCACCTAATTCGATGGAACTTGAACAGCCGTTATATGCCCTCTTGGCTGACCTGACTACCGTCCCGGCAAGGGAATAACGCACGACCTCTAGGGAATAACGCACGACCTCTAGGTATCTAGGAACTGAGTTCTGTTTTTAAACTAATTGTTTTGGTTTCTCTTGTTTGCCACCAGCTAGTCCCCCATTTGTCCTGTCGTGGGGTTTTACATGCTCTGTTTTGGTCAGGTCCGTTTCGCCGCGTAGGTTGGTTCTGGAGGTCCGTTCGTTCCCCTCCCCCCCCTGCGCTGTTTTGGCCTTTTGCCCGTCGTCTGTGTCCGCTTTTTTTCTTCCTCTTGCCTTTCTGGGTTGACCCGGCTCCGGCCGGGTGGGTGTGTGTGTGTGTGTAACATCTGAATAGATGTAAAACTTCTCTCCTTTTCTTTCTTCTTTCCTCTCCCTTTTTAAAAACGCAGGGGGCCACGGCTCCATTCATCAGTCCGTGGCCAACGAAGCTACTGATGTTTGGAGAGGATATGCAGTCTGATCAACTGCACGTACCTGCTTTTTTCTGACATAGCAAGGGGCCAAGCTCAGAACCCCAAACACAATGATTTTATTTCTTCATGGTTGCCACAATCTGTATTTTCGCCGAGAAGTACTACAAGGGGATCTACTTTAGTTCTAATTGTCTAGGCTGGTTTGCATGTTACAGGACTCAGTTCCTGACGGATCTTTTCAAAGAGCCTTTCTTGTCTAGTGTGTGAAACATCTGAACAGATGTAAAACTTCTACTCAATGAATATGGTAATTTAAAGCAGGGGGCCGCGGCTCCACTCATCAGTCCGTGGCCAACGAAGCTACTGATGTTTGGAGAGGATATGCAGTCTTATCAACTGCACGTAGCTGCGAACCATTTTATTTTACTGGACATGGCATGCGGCTAAGCCGAGAACCGCGCAACTGAATTTTGTTTGCACGTTTGCCGCAATCTGGCATTTATTCATTTCGAGATTTGCGCGTTTGCCGCAGTCTGATTTTTATTTTTTCCCCACATCACTGTGTGGGGTTCTTGTTTTTCGCTTTGCACCCGCCGCGTCCGCGTCTGCGTCCGCCCGCCCTGCCGCCACTTATCACCTCGCACTCATCACAGCACAACTCATCACACCACTTGTCACAGCCACCTCCTCACACAGCTCTCATCACTGCACCACTTACCACATCTCACTCATCACACCACAACTCATCACAGCTCCACTTCTCACACCTCACTCATCACCGCTGGGCCGCGGCTGGCTGTCGTGCGGCATGCGCAGTACACAGAGCCGTCTGGCGGAGCTGCTGCGCGCATGGTCACCGCTGGGCCGCGGCTGGCTGTCGTGTGGCAGGCGCAGTACACAGAGCCGTCTGGCGGAGCTGCTGCGTGCGTGGTGGTCGCCGCTGGGCCGCGGCTGGCTGCCGTGTCGCAGGACACAGAGCCTCCTGGCAGAGCTACTGCGCGCGTGGTTGCTGCTGGGCTGCGGCTGGCTGTCGTTTGGCAAAGCTTCCAGGCGGAGCTGCTGCGCGCGTGGGTCGGTGGTGGGCCGCGGCTGGCTCCCGTGGCAGGCGCAGTACACAGAGCCTCCTGGCAGCGTGGTCGTCGGTGGGCCGCGGCTGGCTGTCGTGTGGCAGGCGCAGTACACAGAGCCGTTTGGCGGAGCTGCTGCGCGCGTGGTCGCTGCTGGGCCGCGGCTGGCTGCCGTGTAGCAGGTGCTGTACACAGAGGCTGGTGGCGGAGCTGCTGCGCGCGTGGTCGCTTCTGGGCCGCGGCTGGCTGCCGTGTGGCAGGTGCAGTATTGCAGTATACAGAGCCTCCTGGCGGAGGTGCTGCCACTTCGTCACACACCATCTTTCGCACACACAACTCTCTCACACACCATCTTTCACACACCATTTTTCACACACCGTCACAGACCATCTTTCACACACCATCTTTCACACACCGCTTTGTCACACGCCATCTTTGACACACCATCTTTCACACACAACTTTGTCGCACACCATCTTTCACCACACCATCTTTGTCCACACCATCTTTCCTCCACCTCCTTTGTCTTTCCTTTCTTCCCCGTCCCCGGTACAACACTTCTTGCTCATTATTGGAAGAAGTTGACTTGTGGGGTTATCCGGTCCTTTTATACATTATACATGCCCGGGTTCATATTCACATTTGGGGCCTATTTGACCAAGGTTTTGATCGTGGCCTTGTTTGTTGGAACTTCATCCCATTAATTGCATACAATTTCGGGGAGATCTACCTGGGATCAATTATCTAGTTTGGTTGCACGTTTATGGGATTCAGCTCCCAACGGATCACTCCAATGATCCAGTTCTTTTCTAGTGTGTGTGTTTTTACCTGTTGTCCCTCTCTACTTGGGAAAAGCTATCCGAAATTGATTGTGCATCAGATTGGCGATTACAAATATTGATCACAACATAAATCAGACATGGGCAAACATCCTTTTGAGATGACCTGGATGTGGAAGTAGCAGAGACCTTTTGATGTCAAGGAGGACATTTGTTTATGTGACATGGATGGTTGCAGCGGCCAAGGCAAAGAACTGCTGCAAGAATGAGAAGACATCAAACCACGGCATGCCCCGATAACCCAAACACACACCCGCAGACACACTGCTTTGTGATTTCATTTTTTTTGGTTGCCATCTCTGCCTGGAATGATGATCCCCGATTCACATTTTTTTCCATGGTGGTGACTCGAGTACCAGCTACAGAAACTACAGTTTCCATTGAGGTTTTGTAGGCCAGTGATCGATGTCATGCCATGGTCAGAGAGATCACAGGGCGGAAAAAAAAGCGAAAGGGCTCGAAGGCAAAGGCTGCGAAGGCGGCGAAGGCGGCGAAGGAGCGAACATCGAAGCCGAAGCCGAAGGCGAAGGCCAAGAAGGCCAAGAATGCCAAGAAGGGAGGAGGAAAGGCCGGAAAGGCGAGACGCCAGAAGGAAAAGGCGCAGAGAAAAGACATTCAAGGAACGCTTCCAGGACTGGATATCTGGAGAATGTGATGGGGTTGGAAGATTTTGATGGGTGTTTTCACTGGTGAAGATGTCTCGGATCTGAGGCTATCAACTCCCTTGTTGATGCAACTTATCAAAACCTCACTGTATCTGCTTCAGGCCAAGAGGCGCATTCTGATCGTAAGAAGTATTTGTAAATTTTCCTTCTTTGAAGCTAAGCTGGCAATTGTTATCCCATTTATGGGTGGATTCTTGGGATAATGATTGATCATCCCATGTATAGTTGGATGACTGTGATTATCATCATTATCATCATTATCATCATTATCATCATTATCATCATTATCATCATTATCATCCAGGATAACACATTGAAATCCCATCAGTTGGTAGCGCCCATAATCGTAGCATTTCTCAGCCACGTACCTCGGCAGGATCAGTTTCTACGTGGAAACGATGCAAACGATTCCAAGGATTCCAAGGCTCTAAAGTTTCTAGAGGCTCGACATGTGGTCAGACTGCCCAAACCAAATTCATGATGTGACTGGATATTCAACCTGTATGTTGGTTCCAACATGTTGAAACTCATTATTCCTATCCATTTAGGTAGCCGTTTCTTGATGCGTCCAATCTGGGAACATCCTGGGAGCATGCAGAAAGGCCCGCAGAAGATTCTCAAAGTAGATTCGCGCAAGGCTGCGACCTCAGAATCAATAGCACCGTTTGCATTTGGGGTCCAAAAACTCCCTGACTTTCGTTGAATGTGGCCATTTCAATGGATTGAATTGAGGGAAATTCTACAGGAGGTCATGGGTCTTTATCATCAAATATAGCCTAGGCCTAGAATCAATGCATTGAAATTTAAACCTTGAAAGTGCAAACATTGATGAGTTTCATTGGCTGTTTGTGACCATTGCGTGTTGATCTTTGTGTCAAGCCAACATGCCCAGCATGGAACGGTGGCACCAGCTGAATTCTCAGGTTGGCCAACGCGTTGCTTCCCTGGCAACGCGCCAAGCCTTGTTCCTGGAACTGCAGGCGGTGAGTTTGACGATCGGCAACTTGAGCAGTTCCTTTCCAGAAGGCAGGGCTGAGCTGAGCCTGGGAAACACATGTAAAAGCTGCGGAAAATGGGATAAAAGTGGATAAAATGCGGGCACGGTTAGGCTAGTGTTTGAAGCTGAACGAGTCTGTCTGAAGCCGGTAAGATGTTAGTTTGGCACTTTTGGCCTGCAGGATGGACCGTGAAGATGTCGAATCCGCTCCCACAAGTAGCTCGGAGGAAAACTTTCAGTGCCTTTCATGACGTTAGGAATCCTGGTGGAAGTGCTTGTCCTTCTGTTTGAGCATATCCTTCAAATATTATTCATCCTGAATCATCCTGTACCGCCTTTCCGCCTTTGCTGTATAGTCAGTTTTGTCTACAAGAACCAGCATCCATCTGAAACGCAGAGATTTCGAAGCTGCTGCCTGTACAAAGGATGGACGCTTCGACAAGATCAAGGAGTATCAAGACTGTTGGGAAGAGGCTCTGATCTTGGAGACCAAGGCCCAGTTCATCAGTGAGGCCAGTTGCAAAGCTGCTTAAAGATAGAAACCTGGGATCCCCGGTTGGGAAAAATGGCTTTTGCGGTACTCTATGACTCACCAATATATTGAGATTATTAGGATCTTGTAGTGTCATGGTAGACACTTCCCAGCCACTTCCGATCGCGGGATATCGCGGGGCGATCCTAAGCGCGGGGCCTGTGATGCTGGGAAGGCTGCCAAGAGTTTCAAGCCGCGGCAGTACAACTTTGAAGCTCAGTGCCTCTGTGGAATGGATCCGATACTGAGATGGCCATGGAGACGCAAATTACATCAGGGTAGAAACGGACGATGATTGACCCACATTGACCCACAACAAATGGCATGTTTGAATGATTGAACTATCCAATTTGGGGTCCACGTCATCATGTGGTAGTGAAATTTCAGCCGGTGCGGCAGATCCTCATTGCCGGAGTCCAGTCCATGCCCGAGGTGCATGGATGACACGTGGATCTTGCTCGACCAGGTGCTTCCGGCAAGACTCCTGGAAGAATGTAGCATTTATGGAGGTTTGGTACAGGAATCAGGGGAGTGAGGATCCATGACCACCATATACCCCTGTGGCCCATCACCCTCCAAAAGAGGATGTCTGATCATTCAAAACCATTTTCGTGCAACCTGGCTGGGTGCAGCCTGGAAATTTCAACTTTCTTACTGCGAACAAGCATCCTGCAGCAATCAACTCGGCGCAGGAGAAACGCCTTCCGGGGCGTCCGTGTGGACAGGAGCTGCATGTAGGCATCCATGGCTTTCAGCTGGGAGTGGTTTTTGTTGATATACTCTGTCATCAATGGTCATCAAACATAAATAGCTGGACAATTTCCCATTCATAGGTTTTATAGATGGGTTTTTCCACAACCCTCCATTGATACCCACAATCGGGATTCGCAAGTCGCATTGGAATCCGTGCCATCCTCACCCTACTGCAGGCTCTCTCGTGCTGATCCGGGGTGCTGATTTTGCGTCGGTTGGCAGAGTGGAGATGACCCTTGCATACAAAGGTGGTATGTACATGGGTCAAGATGTCATGAGAGCCGATATTTGGAGGTTTCCTGAAATGGGAGTACCCCCAAATCATCCATTTATAGATGGATTTTCCATTATAAACCCATCATTTTCTATTTTGGTGTACCCCCATTTCGATGAAACCTCCATGTGCTTCGCGAACTGAACATCCAAACAGTGAACGGACTCTCCAGTCCATGTGCTCCTCTTGGGCAGACCGTTGGCAACTTTTTTTTTTGGGATACTCAATGCCTTGACCCATACCTGTGCCATATTCCCAAAGAGGTTTACTGTAAATACAGCCATTCATAGTGGATGACCTTACCTCATAACATGTTCTGTTTTTTGACATGTGGATCCCGCAATTTATGGTCCTGTTAAATTGAATGGACACTGTGTTTTCGAACATGTATAGAATCGTTGGGTACTCGTATATACTGTATATACTTTGTTTCTTGCGAAGAACTCATGGCATTTTGGATGGCGCAATATTTGTGGGACAAAATGTATGGAACGATTTTCCCATGATTCGATTCGGAGAATTCTGCGGTTCCGAATGACCCAACTGAACCAACTGAACCAACTGAGTCCTGAGGACTCCATCCAATTTGAAGGGCATCAGCAGCCGGGGGCTTTGCCAGGAGCTCAAAAGGCCTCAAGTGACGAATGGTTAACATCGTACGTGGTAAACATAGGTATGCATGGGTAAACATGGGGATAGTTTAGATTAAAACTCTTTGTTTACATTTGTTTACTAAGAATGACATGAATGACTCTGAATGACCAAAGTTGCATAGTTTACTGCATTTTTTCTGACCAACCACGAAATTGCATTTTCGTGAGCCAGATCCATCCTCCACGAAATCCATGAGGTCAGGGAGCCATGGTGCAGGTGACCGTTCTTGGTGTCAGTCTTGTGTCCGCTGCACGGGAGATTGATGCTATCAGGCCGGAGAGATTTAGTGGTGTGGATTCCGACATTCTATTCATTTGCTTCGGGTCCTCTAAATTCATCAGCGTTTGCTCTTCCACCTATTTTGATTTGTCATGATAGTCAATAAGAAAGGATTCTTGGAGGGGTAGTGAGTCTTCTGAGTAGAATGTAGTAGAATTTTCCAAGGTATGTCATTGAAATTTATCAAAATAAGCAGTGGTTGGTTCACCTGTGAGCCTTCATACCCTCGCCACATGCTGCACTTTCATCAAAGCTTCCATAGATATAAAACATTTTGGATACTGAATTAGATTCGCATTTTTTGCTGAGAATATTCCCGCCAATCAATCCCTTAATCCTATAAATTCCTATAAATATACCACACGGAATCCAACCTTGTTGTAGGACAATTGCAAATAAAGTACCACAAATCCGGCCAGGAAGGTCCGTCACATCCCCGCCTTGCTGGTGGATCAGCTTTTGGGGCGCTTGCCACCAGGGGAGCCATGGAGAGGCGTGGGGCTGAGGTGGGGCCTTTTGAAGGGTGAACTTCCCTAGAATTATTTTGAACATCACCGCTTTTGGATATTTTGAATTGGATAAATCAGTATTTTGAACGTTAGAACCTGTGCTTTGAATCTTCCTGATGATGGATGATTTTTTGAAGTGTTGCAGTGTTGAGTTAGGGAGAACAGGACATTTTCGCTGACAAAGATGAGACTGTAAGATGATTGTCCTCAAAAAAAGGGGGGAATGAACATCCCCAAACCCATGCCACAACTGGTCCCACCATGGTTCCCAGCAAAATGCTCAGGATTTGAGAGGATGGAGGAGAAATTCCATTGCCTGAAGTCGTTGAATCCCTCACAGACAAAGGCCGTCGTCCGAGCCGCCAGCTCCAGTTCTGGCTTCGTCTCCATTCATGGACCTCCTGGCACAGGTTGCTTGCCATGGATCAATGGATCCCCCAGTGGTTGAGGGGATGCTCCGAGGATTTCCCCACCGATGATTCAGGTTCCCTGAGTCCAACGTTTCATCCATATTTCGACAGTATTTCTGGGTAAAACCATAATAAACCATCCCCCGAATCACCATTAATAGGTGGTATAAACCATTCCCAAATGGGTGGTTTATTATTGTTTTACCATGTTTTACCCACATTACTGTTGAAATTGTGGGTTTGGTCAGCGCCTCTGACAGTCTGTCCCGGACTATGGTTGGGAATCTCGGTGTTGCCTTTGACGTTTATTTTCCCTCATTGATTCAGGCAAGAGCCAAGCTCTTCTTGCGCTGGTGAATACTTTGCACATACGGAAGCCAAGCTGCAATATCTACATAGTTGCAACGCTGGTTTCTGCATTCATATTTTGGCAGATCAGGTATTATCGACAACAAGTTAGAGATCCACAATTGCTTGGCAGTGGTCACTAGGACATGTTTTCAGCTAAAATTGTTTTGGAACAAAGCAAACACAAGCACGACATGGAAACTACAGGTCTTCAATGAAAACTTATGTATGGCCTCGAAACAATCCAGCTTGCTTACCCAAAATGAAATGGAGAAAATAGATGCTTTCCAAATAAAATGCATTAGGCGAATAATTACTACGAATCCTACCTACATTCATCGATAGGTCGCAAACCAACCAAATTGTTCCTGACAAAGCTTCGCAATACAATGTAGATATGGCTAAATTCTCAGATACACGGCGAAAATTGAGAACAGAACATACTGATCCACTTCGGCAAGTACTATTTGACTATAGAACTTATTCTCCCAGAACATTCCCAACAAGAAGGGTGGGTCGACCAAAAATGGATTGACTATTAGAAACTTTGAAAGACCTGGCGCCTGATTTCAATCATATCAATGTACATACATTATCTATAGTGGAGGCTGCTATCTCCCGAAGCGGGCCTTTCAGTCTCTAAACATCCTGGCCATCAGTACTGAGTAAATACAAAGAAATCATTACCTCCCAGTGTTTCTCTTTGCTTTGGTCATGCTGCGCACCTTCATTGGCGCTAGATAAAAAGATTCCGATGATTCTGGACGCTTGGATTGCTAAGGAAACTCGGGGAATACCATCGAGGAATCGAGGACACTCAACTTAGCGTCAGCACATTCGTCAATGTGTCAGTGGGGGACATGCCATAATATCCTTCTGGTTGTCACCAGCAACAATGGCGGCTTATAACTTGTAAGGGGACGAGAAGGTCACCACTATGACTGGGAAAGTGTCAACGAGACTGTGCTGGATCCGAAGGAAATGGTCTTGGGCAGCGGAAATAGAAAGGCACCTGAAAGATGGAAAGAGGCGCAGAATCTTTTGGTTGGGAATGCGTGAATCTTTGCCTGCCGTTTGGCACACATTCACAATGTATGCCCCCAAAATTTGGAACCCCTTAAATTACAGATAAGTTCCAATTGGTGGTATATTTTCCAGTAACTATTCTTGCTTGGGGGGCATCCTTGATTCTGTGACATGCCCATTTGGAGTTGAGTCTATTAAAGTCCATACGCTGTAAATATACGCAGATATATACTGATATATATATATATATATATTGTGGATTGACCACAAAGGTAGGGAACTGAGATGATCCAATAAGATTCCAATGTCAGAAGCTGGAATGAGATAGTTGACCCCCTGATCACAGTGATGTCGAATGGTCCCCTGAACCAACTGTAAATAGGATTCTTCCAACAGTGGCCACGACAATGGCTCGAAACAACCAATCCGCCCCCAAGCGCTGCAAGTGATCTTTTCCTGGACCACACACCTGCCGCAGCAAACCCCTCGCTTGGGCCTTTAAAGATGGCCATCGGTATGAGGTTGCAAAACCCCTTGGATTGAATGTCGGACATGACACATGTAGACAAGACCCCTTTGGCAGCTGGCATATGGATATGCAGGAAACTGGAAATTCACACTCCCAAAATTTCTTTTTTATTTAAGAAATCAAGAAAGCAAACAACTGAAAACACCTAAGTGGATCGGTTTTGGGCTTCGGCGATTGATGACTGATCTTTGGCAACTGTATTGGATAACCAGGTCTTGAAAGCCTTTCGGTCGGCTCTTTGCTTCAAGGTTTCATCCATGTCATGGAGACAGCATCTGCCATGTTGAAGAAATTCACGAATACGAAAACAATCCATGATTTTGGTCAGTGCATCTGATAACTGAGCCGCACTGTGGACCCAGTAGGGTTTGATTCCAGAATTCAAGTGACTTTTAATGACAAGTGCTTCAATGAGTGTGCGGTGTTCTTGGCATTGTGGAGTGGTATTCTTTGTTATTGCATCGTACAGGGATTTGCAATCAACAACGGCTATACTGGAATGTGTTTCATGCCATACTTTCTCAGGAGTCTGCCAGGGAATGTTGGGATTTTTGATCCATTCCCAGGAGAGTCGCAACCAATTTGTAAGATCTACGGAAGAGGATAGGGCATAGGTCTCTGCTGTCAGTGTACTGGCAACTACTCGATCTATCTTCTTGGAAAACCAGCAAAGTGGGCTTGCTCGAGCACTTTTTTGGAGAAAAACATCTTGGTGCACTGCTAAAAACAATCCTCCCTTTTGGCTGTGTTGCTTTTCACGTGTGGCAAATGAGGCATCGGAATACGATACAAAACGAACATCATCAACAGCAATACTAGAAATGGAAATCGTAACAGAAGCATGGTGTTTGGCATCGCCCAGCAATCTGTTGGCATCCAGTAGATCTCGGATGGTGGCACAATTGATCCGAGACTGCAAGAAACTGAGTCGAGCGGACAAATCTGGTCTGGTGTTAGTGGCAGCATACTGCAGGGATCCAATAATTCTTCGTAAGCTTTGGCGTTCTCCCTCGGTTACCTCTAATTGTTCCTGTTTTCTGCGAGTCCTTTCAACATGAATTGGATCAATGGCAAGGACGTAGTCAGTTTGATTCAAGTGGATATTAAAGTTCTCATCTTGATTGATGTGGATTCCGGTGAAGGTAAAGTCTTGACGTCGTTTGGAGCCAAATGGAAATTTGTTCTCAAGTTGATTCAAGGTTTGTTCAAACGTTTCGTCCCCACAACATAGTCCGTCATCGACATGCATACCAATGAGACCATGAACTTGTCCCTGTTTTCCCACCAAGCAAAATAGGCAAGGATCCAGAGGGCTGATTTGAAACTGCAATTCAAGAAGGCTTTCTTTCAGTTCAACATACCATAAATACGCTGCGTTGACAAGACCATAGGCTGATTTCAACAATTCACACGTTTCAGTTTCTTTCATGTTCAGTTTCGCGCGAAGTTCTGATGGAGGATCAACACCCAATATCCTACTGTCTCGTCGGGAACCTCTCAAAAAGGCAGTCTTGACATCAAAACTCTGGATGACCCAGCATCGTGCCGCACAGTATTGCAGAAGAAGAGCTCGCGATTCCTTTTGGAGTGTTGGTGAGTCCCTGGGAATCTCAGTAAGGTTAGGATCCATATTTCCTAGAATCACAAGTCTGGCTTTGGCTTTGCGATTTTTCCCTTCTTTTGCTGCATCGATTGGATCGAGATCTTTCCAGGTTAGTACCCATCTGCATTTCAAAATATTTTCTTCAGGAATTTTGTGGCGCAGGATTTTTCGGACTGTTTCAGTAGCTAACCATTGGTCGATCTCTTTGTTCTTTGCAGCTTGGAATTCTGCAAGTTGGCTCAGTGATAGGTCCTTAAGCTTTACTTCAGCTCGTTGCCTCTTGGCGGCTGAAGCAGCAAGCACCGGAAAGGCCTCCGGATCATCTCCTATTGTTTCCAAATCTCCTGCAGTGAAGAAGATTTCACACTCAAAGATTTGATCATCTTGAACATTCAGAACATCTTGAACCTGTTCAATAGGCTCCCCACCATTTGTCATGATTGTAAAAATCGTGATTCCTGTCCAAGGTTCCTGAGTAGTCCAGTGATTATCCCCTTGATCTGAACACCAACTATCTGTTTTGGACCAAATTCCTCCATGTGTGTGGTTTCCTGTGGTGCATCTGGTCTCCATCACATGCAGAATGTCTACTGGGCAGTCAGCGCAGCTGCTAGGGTCAAAATCGGTCCAGCGCGGTCGATTGTGGATACGGAGAAGTTTGTCACCCTGGCACATCCAGGCATCTTCAACAGTTAGTTCATCATCATCACTAGGAATTGGAACTTCATGAGGAGCTGCTGGAATGGGTTCTTCTGCTACGTCATCGGAAAGCCTATCATTGATCGGCGTCGTTGGGGTATATCCACTGCTGGCTTGCGATGCCGGTGGCATGTTTGGTTCGGAATCAGGCTGTTCCAAATTGTCAACGTCCAAGGCTTCAGTCGAGGGTTCAGGAGGAGATGGCAGAACTGGGACAACTTCCGATTCTTCAGCGGCAGGCATACCTATGGGTCCTGCTTGTTGGGTGAGGTCTTCATATTGGAAAACTCCTTTACCACAATCTTTTTCAGGAAAGTCCATTCGGGATGAGGTTAGTTGCTCCATGCTCTGTTGGGCTTCATGCAATGATAAACTCCGGATATGTTCAGGGGCTACTCTGTATACCCGACTGGAAAAGGATATCCAAACAACGTGATCAGATTCTTGAATGATGACCCTGGCCGGCCCATGCCATTGGCCGCGGTATTCACCCTTCCCTGGACGCCAGAACATGACAAAGGATCCACCTATGTGTCGACCTCGATGAGGTCTTTGCCTCCGGAGAAAAGCTCTGCGTAGCTTCTCGCTGTTGTCAGCTTGTGCAAAGGCCCTGCGAGCACATTCACGATATTCCAGATGCTTCCTAAAGGCTAATCCCTCGGGAGTGTCTGAATCCTGAAGAAAAATTGATGCTTTGGGCACATCTTCGCATACACTTCCAGGAAGGCATTGGCTCTTTCCAAGTACTAGAATTTCTGGTGTGTACCCTTTTGACCGGGCTAGCGAGTTCTTTGCGTTGCAACATTGCTGAAGGGCTTTTCGAAACTCATCATTGGTGGAAATGGCTTGATCTACATCAAATCGCTCTAACATGTGCTGGAGGATATCACCGTGACGTTCTGTTTTTCCAAGTTGCCAGTGTGCATAGGCGGCCACAACTCTCAAGTGAATGTCGCTACTCTGGGCATGTTTGATGAATTCATCGGAACAAAGAGCTGATTCATTATCCACAACCAGTTGTTTGCATGGACCTGCCCATTTGAACCAACATTCTTGAATTGTCTCAAACAGCGTTGAGGCATCTGTTTGGAAAACCATGGAAGCCAGTTGGAAATTGGTCGCCATGTCAATTAGATGCACAAACTGAAACACTTTCCCGTTTCGGGAGGTCCATGAGATTAAATCACAGCCAACACAATCATTGAACTCTCGGGGCTCCGACAAGGACGCAGGTCGAGAAATTCTCGGAGCTTGTGTCTCTACGCAAGTGCTACATTTGAAGTCTCCGACACCCTGGACAATCTCATCAGCAAACCCTTGTTGTTGTAAAACATTTTGAAGTTTATTTATAGTTGGATGTCCCAGGTTATGGTGAATCTTTGAAAGCCATTGGCGGGTTTTGATGGGAAGTGAGAGAAATCGTGGACCATGTTGTAGTACTGACTGTTGGAGTTGATCAAGTGTGCTGGAATGTGGTTTGACATCGTCTTCACCTTGACTGTCAGTGGGCAAGACTTCTGATTGCACTTCTGGCTGTGGGTCATACTCATCTTTTGTGAGGTGCTCCAGTTGATCACCTTCGGAAGACAAACGTGGTTTCTTGGTAGGTAACACTGACACACTTGAGGAGACTTCCCTCTTTGCATTGGCATTGGGTCTGGCAAATACCGTGATCATCAGTCTGGCAGCTGGGGCTTTGGCACATATCCTTCGGACACTGAGGTGTTCCCAAGGTTGCCATGTACCTGTGTTGAATGGCTCAAGGCCCTGTCTTAAGAGCCCAAATGTCCACCGAAGGGGAGCCTCATGCGGCATCAGTCGAATAGGAGACTGGCGGAAACGGTCCGCACCCTTACAAATCTCCAGCACTCGGATCACATGATCTGGGCAGGCTTCCTGAATACGATCAAACAGGGGACCCTTTTCTAAGACAAGAGTGCCAACTCTGGGAGCAATATCCTTGGCGTCAGTCAGAATTGTGGGATCTTGGAAAAATGGTATGTCATCAGATTTCACGGAAGGCTTCTGCACCTGTTGTGGTCCTGACAAAACTTGTTCAACTGCAGGAGGGTATCCCGGAGGGTCCGAGACCTTACCACTCAGGCGGCGGCGTTTGACTTCTGGCTCAGACTGGTCATCTAGCGAACCAAAGACAGGTATACTTCTGGCCACCGATTTTTCTTGACTCTGGAGACTAGCTTTGATGGTTCGGGCAATTCGAATGCAAAAAGTCCTAGTGTACAGTTCTGAGAATTCTGACACATTTCTTCGAGAGCCATCCTTCCAAACAAAGGATCCAGCAACTTGATCATGCTCATGTTGATGATTACATCGGAGGGTTTCCACATATCTGGCCAGTATGCTTGAGGTGGTAAGGATTTGAGTACCCTTCTGGAGCAGCTTGAGACTGATCGGGTGTGCCAATTTGCCTGCGGTGCACATATCACAACGGACTCGAAGAGAAGCATCTATGATGTTCTGCAAACATTCTTGAAACAACATGTCAGAACCTACCGGTTGCTCAAGGTGAAAATGATACTCCGGTCCGCATGATTGTTGCCATTGGAACACAGCAGCGCACAGCAACAGATGAACTAAGTCATCTTCACGAGACTGCATCACTCGGCGGGCGGCTTCTTGGGATCTACAGGCATTGAATTGATTCCATCTGCACCAGGCTTTACATCGGGGTGACATCCAAATGTGCTTTGGTTGAAAAGTGGTGATTGCATGATACAGCTTTTGACGACCCTCAAACGTTCCTAGATCCCCTTCTCGAAGTCCAAACCTGATTGATCGCAGCCCTTGATGTTGACACTGTCGAGTAAGTTCACTCTCAGAGGAACAGTAGATCTCAAGAACATCTATCTTTGATGAAGAACGTCGAACAGACGAACCATGTCGAACTGCGTACTGTCTCAATTCATCATGAACCCAGTTGGACACATGATCTTCCTGCTTCACCTGAGTATTCTAGACTATGTTGTTCCATGAAATTGTTCAGTTCTTGAATGCTGCGTTCAATCATCAAGTTCTGAGCAGGATCCATCAGTCGGACGGATTCTCCGGAGCCGGAGGATGCAATTGTTGCATCTGAGCCACTACCTGCCAGAGAACGTGTTCTAATTGATTCAAGCGCTGGCTCACCTGCTCGTCGATGTTCTGACTTCCTCGGAGTGAAACTGCATCCCAGGATTCCTCTTCTTCCTCTTCCAGATCGATCGTCATGGGACGTTCGGACTTCCCATGTCCCCCTCCACTCTTGGCCTTGGCTTTGGGCTTCATGAGAGCTGAAGCGGCTTTTTGACCCACATTCTGTTCCAGTTCTTGACGTTCTGTCCACAACTCCAGGAACCGAAGAAATTCTCTGTGCTCCAGCTTCTGACTGTTGCCGTACTGGCGGAGAAACCACGTGCAGTACTTCGGATCTTCTTTCACCACTGTCAGAAAACTCTGGCCGGTCTTGGCTGATCCGAACCTGATGGGCATCTCCTTGAGCTGGTCGTAGCTGAGTTTCTGCAAGTCCAGGTCCTGGGTCTCCTTGGACTGGGAAATCTGCATGGCTGCAAAGCGCTCGGCAAGGCTGGACATGGCTATGAGACACTCTGGAGGTCACTGTGCACGTCTCGACAGTCTCGATGGGATCTTGAGATTGCTGCTTCGGATCAGGAATGGGTTGCTTGGCAACACGGCTGAAAACTGGTGGGTCATCTTTCCTGTCGGCTAGCATACCTTCCTGAGATTCTATCATTGCACCTGGGGACCCCTTTTCAGGCTTTTCAGGCAATCGTTTGGGACATGTTACGGCTGAGACTGAACCTTGAGTTGGCTTGTCAACACACACACACAAACATTCTCCGCTCGAGGACCCTCAGGTTTTATTGCTACACTCGGCTGAGGAGGTCTCTGGGCCACAAGTTCGGAAAATTCAAGCAAGAAAAGTTTCTTTCCGGACAACGTCAATGGCAAGGTGCAGTTGAGCTCTCGAAAAAAGATGGTTTGATTGGTAGTGTCGATCACCGCGCCAAGGCTTCTGCAAACATTGTTGGAAATCAAAAATGGTGTTCTCGATTCTACCACAGCGATCTTGATCCAGAACCTGTCAACTGGAACCATGAGAGCTCGACGACATGGGACACCATTATTGCCAAAACGGAAAGTCATTTCCACAGCCTGTTCATAGACCTGCTTTCTCACATTTGGTGGTAAAGACTTCAAAAACTCAGGCACCTGATAACTACCCATAACCGTCTGTGACGCGTCAAGAATCCCTAAATTATGACTTGTGGCAAACATGACATCATGTGCTGATGACTTGACTGGACAACATGCAATGTCCTGAGAGTTCATCACTTCCGTCTTCTCACAGGCAGCAGGTCCTACAAAAGTCTCAGGCGAGAGATTCTCTTTTGGAACCATTTTCTCAGGCGAGGGGTTTGCATGCGATCTCTCAGGCATCTTCATCCTGCCAGTGGATGGCACGGGCAGATTGCGACACACAATTCGCAAACGTTCTTTCACCTTTGAAAAGAATTCCCCTTTTTTCCTAACCGATCCACTACCCCAACATACTAATATATTTTGGGAGTGTGACAGGCGAGACATGGAATCATGGTCCTGAGCACTCGGATGCACGGCGGATGCATGAAGGCTGTCATGGGTCACCACAAACACATCGGAGTCGTCATTCGGCATCTCGGTTACGGACATGAGCACATTGGTAGGCTGGGCTTTGCTAACGGCCGACACATTGGAGTTGATTTGTCCACGTTTTGGACACTCTGACTTCCAATGGCCTCGCTGGCCGCAGAGGCGGCAATCCGATTCAGCTATGCGAACAGCCAACGGCTTTCTGCCCCGAGCAAAAGGAAACTTGCCTTTCCCTTTCTTACCAGCGCCCTTTGGGCGAATCGGCCAGAAACCTCTGCTGCGTGACTTTTCAGTCAATCTTCGCAGGGCATCAAGGTAAGCTGACATGTATGTGGACATTTCACCGTCATTCTGCACAGCTTCAATGAGTGCATCCTCAAACTGCTGTACTACTAAGGCATCTTCATCCCCTTCAGATAGCAAATGATCAATCACTGCATCGGGTAAATCACTTCCTTCAGCAGAAAAAGTGAAAAATCCATCATCATTTCCATATGTATCCTCTTCGGATTCCTGAACATGGTTGATCTCATATGTTTTTCTACGATGTTGTTTGGCTTGACCTTGAACTTCTTGAAAAAACTTGGCTCCAAGCATTTTGATGGCTGAGGTGACGGTCTCATATTGGAGTTCACCTTTCGAATCTACCAGGACTCTCTTTTTGTCTTCCGCGCTCAAGGCTGAGTTTCGCAACAAAATGTAGGCTCGAACATCTTTGAAGCTAATGCCCTGAGTCACCAGGTCCTCAAAGAGGATGTCATGGCGAGCCACGTAAGACTCATTGCTCTCATCTGGCCCCTGTGAGAGTCCAAAAATGGCCTTCTCAAACTTCTCAAATCGATTCTCCAGTGTAGTCTTTCCCCACACTCCACCAAGCGTGGTGACAAGGAGTTTCACTCCCTCAACAGATGGAACTTTGAGCTTTTCAGGGGCTATTCGAACAACCTTTTGGAAGGCTGACCCCTTGCATTGGAGCGCCGCACGAGGCGCAAGTTGCTGAAGTTGTTCTTGAGGCCAAATGCCTGCAAGAAACTCCAGTCGTCGGCTATACTCTGTCAAATCTGTTTCACCTGGATCAAAACTTGGGATGAGGTGCCACGGCAAGTGGCTGCTTGGATTGCTGCTGGAACCCTGTCCAGCCTCGACAGTTCCCCCTTCAGACATGGTCGCGTCTACAGGAAAAACACCAAAACTTGTTTGCCCTGGATCTCTCCTTTTCGGGATTGAACACAGGCACTGATGAAAACAGAATGTAGCACTTGTTCACAAAGTTGCCAAATGAAAATTGGACCACTGTCGTTGAGAAAAATTCTCAAGTGCAGTCAGAAAAAAAAATGTTGGACCACCGGATCCACTGATGAAATCCCAAGGAGCTCGGCGCTCCGCTACCAATGTGGATTGACCACAAAGGTAGGGAACTGAGATGATCCAATAAGATTCCAATGTCAGAAGCTGGAATGAGATAGTTGACCCCCTGATCACAGTGATGTCGAATGGTCCCCTGAACCAACTGTAAATAGGATTCTTCCAACAGTGGCCACGACTATGGCTCGAAACAACCAATCCGCCCCCAAGCGCTGCAAGTGATCTTTTCCTGGACCACACACCTGCCTCAGCAAACCCCTCGCTTGGGCCTTTAAAGATGGCCATCGGTATGAGGTTGCAAAACCCCTTGGATTGAATGTCGGACATGACACATGTAGACAAGACCCCTTTGGCAGCTGGCATATGGATATGCAGGAAACTGGAAATTCACAATATATAAATATACATACGTATACACATATATTATACATATGTATATATATATATAGATATACTATTTATACACATATCTCATAGTATACATATCTACACTATTAGCCTATGTACTGTGTGTACATAGTACACATGTCACACATTAAATACATACACAGTGTAACCTCAGCCCAAGTTTGGTGTACCCGCAGAGCCAGGCTGTGTGCCACTTTCCCCGGCTCCTGGTCACTGCTCACAGCAACGCTGCCGTGGAACAATTGCAGCAACGTGCCCGCGCTGGGTGCTTTATCGACCAGAACGGTGGTGCCTTGGAAGAGTTGGGGTAAAATGGATCCAAACTTCAGTATGACATACTGTAATTTGATCATCCAACCATTTTGGGGATTCCCCATTTATGGATACTTTGATTGGATCTGCTTTTACTGAGTCTTTTGAAGCGACCAATAGCTGGCGCCAAGGCAGCTATGAACCGATTCACTACAGATTGAGCAGTTATAACGCAGAGAACGACCAGAACGACAACGTGGATGCGCAAATTCGAGAGCTCTTGTCACTGGAAGTGAAAGTGCTGAAAGAAGAGCGGCAACAACTCAGACGAGATGCTGGGACTGATGGCTTCGGGCTGCGACATTTCACGTGTGATGCCACTATTGAATTGGCAAAGAAGGGTTGATAAGTTAATGACCACACCAAGACTCTAAGAGAAGATTACCAAACAGCAGGGTGTCACCAGATTTGAAACTTTTTGTGCCGCACAATTCAGGTCAGAGCGGCCCCATTTCTCTGAATTCCAGTCTGGCTGTGTCTAAAGGAAGTAGCCGTTGAACTGTCTGCTGATGTCTGCTGGGTTCTCTCCGAATAGTCTTGGTGTTTGGCTCCTGTACTGTTGCAAGCACTCCGAGAAACCTGAAACATGAAACGTTTCAGGGCGATGATTTTCTCAAGATCCTTTGCTGGAGGGCTGTGCCCTCCAATCATAGTTAAGTGGCTTGGCAGGTTCGTTTCTTTTGAAATTACACCAGGAAGTCATAGTACAGCTCTCCCATCGGTACTGTTACTATAAGTGGCTCTGGCACTTCCCATAACTAGGCCATAACTGGCTTGAGGAGATGGAGCATTTGGATGCTCACATTGTGAAGCTCATCCGAGAAATTCGGCAGCTGCAGAAGGTGTGTCCTTTACCTGCTGGTGTTCAAGCGATCTTGGAGGGCGGAGTGATTGAGTGCCCCAGCTGCACCAAACTTGGGCGAAATCAGAATTCTAATAACACCTCAAAACACCAATTCTTTTCAAATTTGATGATTTTTTTCGACACGTTTCCTATGGGAAATCCGCCCAAAAAACATGGCCTTTGACCAGGTACGTGGATGAGAGCGGGTGCCAGTTCCTTGACCCTCCCAAGCCTCAGCCTGGCGAGCGCACCACCGAGCCGTTGCAAATGGCTCACGTGGTGGGACGGATGGAGGACGACTCAAGGGGCTGAATTTGTTGAGAAATCAGGCACATGGATATTTGAATGGAAACTAGCCATAAATTGGGGGATACTGGGTATACTTATACATGGATATACATGGATTCTGTGTAGCAATAGTACCTTAAAAATGGAAGAACATGGTACTTCTCAGTGGTGTCCCGGCGGTGTCATTTTCGGATGTCACCATGGCCCCAGGAGCTGGTGAGATGCAGTGATGGCTATAGAGAGTTGAAAGGAAGAGTTGAGCGCTGTCAGCTGGTTGAAGACTTCAAGTGTGGATTGCTTCAGGTGCCATTCACCAAGCTGATCCTTGGCTTTTCTTTGCTTGGGGATTGGATATGATTGGATTGAATTTCTTGGTAACAACTAGTGAGAACTGAGCGTGTCACAGATACACAGAGACACAGAGAGAGAGAGAGAGAATGAGTGAGAGTGAGATGGAGATATGTACATGTGCCATTTGTCAGAACATTTTTTTGGTACTCTTTAATATTTTGTGTCGTATGTTAGGTACTGTAGACGAGTAAGATGCAATTGACAATAGCACGGAGAAAACACATGTACACGTATCCACATACAAGCATAGGCGGGGTCGACAAGTCAGCCTGGAGAAAAAAGATATCCACAACACACACACACACTGATTGACTTGGGGTGTGGTTCACCAACGCAGCTCTGCAGGAAGCTTCGCTTGGAAGCGAACATCCTGGAGTTTGCCCACATTCTCTTTGCCACTGCCAACACCACGGCACGCTTGGGGCAACTAGCCCCTTGACCAAGGAAGATGTCACATCCAAATCACATGCAAGCGCCCTATCATGATGTTACTTTATGGAAAACACAGTGAAACAAGAATTTGATAGATTTTGTATGGGTTGGGTTTCCTGCGGCTTCTTTGTAGATCTGCTCCTATGCGGCATGATGTGGTCTTCGTTTGGGAGTGTCAATTCTTTGAGGTCAACGAGCAGGCGATGAAATCATTTGACACTGTGGCCACTCAGTTGCAGTCGGAGCGCCATTTTGGAGTTGTCCATCATCCTGCCTTGACAAATGGGCCAAATGGGTCTGAAAACTCCGAACACGCAGAACACGCATAACACGCAACTCCCTGTGCTTCTCTTCACTTTTTCCGTCACAAAAGGCCATAGATCTGGACGCTCATCATTTTTGGACAAACCCAACCGCTTGGCACCTCTCCGCTGTGCCGGGAGTCATCAAAGTCTTCTTTGTCCTTTTTCGAAACATTGGCAATAGATGGGAGTTGCTGTCTTTTCCTGGATTCTGACCGTAGGATCGAAATCGAATCCATGTAGATCAGTATCATTCACAATCAATCCATATCTATCAGTCTGTCAATCAATCAACCAATCAATCAATCTATCTATCTATCTTATCTTATCTTATCTTATCCTATCCTATCCTATCCCATCCCATCCCATCCCATCCCATCCTATCTATCTATCTATCTATCTATCCATTATCCATCCATCCATCTATCCATCCATCCATCTACCCATCTATCTATCCATCCATCCATCGATCCATCCATCTATCTCTCTACCTATCCATCCTTCCTTCCCCTCTTCCATCCATCCATCCATCCATCCATCCATCCATCCATCCATCCATCCATCCGTCTACCTATCTCTCCATCTATCTATCTTCTCAGGGGCTGTAATACTGGCAGCTCTTCCAGCTGGCAGATTGTTTACTGACTCTTAGGTGATCGACGAGGCGGCTCAGGCAACTGAGCCTTCGGTCATTATTCCGCTGTGTCTCAGCAGTGGGCGCAGCGCAGTTCAGAACTCAGCGTGTTTTTTTGATTCACAGGACGACCAAATGACGGACATGGGTAGAACCTTGTAACATGGATTTACAAATAAATAGAATCGGCTAGCGCCCGGGTGCCGCCGACCCCCCCTAGAAGCCATTGATGTGTGGCCTTGGGGTGGCTGTTGGCTGCAGGATGAAGCATGCCAAGGGATTGTTTAAGCGGCCCATAAGAAGCCATTGATGTGTGGCCTTGGGGTGGCTGTTGGCTGCAGGATGAAGCATGCCAAGTCAGCGTTTTAAGGGTTTTAAGGTTTTTAAGGGTTTGGAGGGTTTGGAGGGTTTTAAGGGTTTAAGGGCTGGCAAACGGCAGGCTTGGACGCCCATAAGAAGCCATTGATGTGTGGCCTTGGGGTGCCTGTTGGCTGCAGGATGAAGCATGCCAAGGGATTGTTATGCAAAGGATTGTTTAAGCGGCCCATAAGAAGCCATTGATGTGTGGCCTTGGGGTGCCTGTTGGCTGCAGGATGAAGCATGCCAAGGGATTGTTATGCAAAGGGATTGTTTAAGCGGCCCATAAGAAGCCATTGATGTGTGGCCTTGGGGTGGCTGTTGGCTGCAGGATGAAGCATGCCAAGTAAGCGTTTTAAGGGTTTTAAGGTTTTTAAGGGTTTGGAGGGTTTTAAGCGTTTAAGGGCTGGCAAACGGCAGGCTTGGACGCCCATTAGAAGGCATTGATGTGTGGCCTTGTGGTGCCTGTTGGCTGCAGGATGAAGCATGCCAAGGGATTGTTATGCAAAGGGATTGTTTAAGCGGCCCATAAGAAGCCATTGACGTGTGGCCTTGGGGTGCCTGTTGGCTGCAGGATGAAGCATGCCAAGGGATTGTTATGCAAAGGGATTGTTTAAGCGGCCCATAAGAAGCCATTGATGTGTGGCCTCGGGGTGGCTGTTGGCTGCAGGATGAAGCATGCCAAGTCAGCGTTTTAAGCGTTTTAAGGGTTTTAAGGTTTTTAAGGGTTTGGAGCGTTTTAAGGGTTTAAGGGCTGGCAAACGGCAGGCTTGGACGCCCATAAGAAGCCATTGATGTGTGGCCTTGGGGTGCCTGTTGGCTGCAGGATGAAGCATGCCAAGGGATTGTTATGCAAAGGGATTGTTTACGCGGCCCATAAGAAGCCATTGATGTGTGGCCTTGGGGTGCCTGTTGGCTGCAGGATGAAGCATGCCAAGGGATTGTTATGCAAAGGGATTGTTTAAGCGGCCCATAAGAAGCCATTGATGTGTGGCCTTGGGGTGGCTGTTGGCTGCAGGATGAAGCATGCCAAGTAAGCGTTTTAAGGGTTTTAAGGTTTTTAAGTGTTTGGAGGGTTTTAAGGGTTTAAGGGCTGGCAAACGGCAGGCTTGGACGCCCATTAGAAGGCATTGATGTGTGGCCTTGTGGGGCCTGTTGGCTGCAGGATGAAGCATGCCAAGGGATTGTTATGCAAAGGGATTGTTTAAGCGGCCCATAAGAAGCCATTGATGTGTGGCCTTGGGGTGGCTGTTGGCTGCAGGATGAAGCATGCCAAGGGATTGTTTAAGCGGCCTATAAGAAGCCATTGATGTGTGGCCTTGGGGTGGCTGTTGGCTGCAGGATGAAGCATGCCAAGTCAGCGTTTTAAGGGTTTTAAGGTTTTTAAGGGTTTGGAGGGTTTTAAGGGTTTAAGGGCTGGCAAACGGCAGGCTTGGACGCCCATAAGAAGCCATTGATGTGTGGCCTTGGGGTGCCTGTTGGCTGCAGGATGAAGCATGCCAAGGGATTGTTATGCAAAGGGATTGTTTAAGCGGCCCATAAGAAGCCATTGACGTGTGGCCTTGGGGTGGCTGTTGGCTGCAGGATGAAGCATGCCAAGGGATGGTTATGCAAAGGGATTGTTTAAGCGGCCCATAAGAAGCCATTGATGTGTGGCCTTGGGGTGGCTGTTGGCTGCAGGATGAAGCATGCCAAGTCAGCGTTTTAAGGGTTTTAAGGTTTTTAAGGGTTTGGAGGGTTTTAAGGGTTTAAGGGCTGGCAAACGGCAGGCTTGGACGCCCATTAGAAGGCATTGATGTGTGGCCTTGTGGTGCCTGTTGGCTGCAGGATGAAGCATGCCAAGGGATTGTTATGCAAAGGGATTGTTTAAGCGGCCCATAAGAAGCCATTGACGTGTGGCCTTGGGGTGGCTGTTGGCTGCAGGATGAAGCATGCCAAGACAGTTTTAAGGGTGAAGCATGCCAAGGGATTGTTTAAGCGGCCCATAAGAAGCCATTGATGTGTGGCCTCGGGGTGGCTGTTGGCTGCAGGATGATGCCAAGACAGTTTTAAGGGTGAAGCATGCCAAGGGATTGTTTAAGCGGCCCATAAGAAGGCATTGATGTGTGGCCTCGGGGTGGCTGTTGGCTGCAGGATGAAGCATGCCAAGTCAGCGTTTTAAGGGTTTTAAGGTTTTTAAGGGTTTGGAGGGTTTGGAGGGTTTAAGGGCTGGCAAACGGCAGGCTTGGACGCCCATAAGAAGCCATTGATGTGTGGCCTTGGGGTGCCTGTTGGCTGCAGGATGAAGCATGCCAAGGGATTGTTTAAGCGGCCCATAAGAAGCCATTGATGTGTGGCCTCGGGGTGGCTGTTGGCTGCAGGATGAAGCATGCCAAGTCAGCGTTGTAAGGAAAGCATGTAATTTTCATGTCCAAATGCCTGGAAGTCTTAACTGGAGGACGAAGCATGCCAGGAAAATGTTTACGCGATGTGGCCTTGGGGCAGCTTGCTGGCTGCGAGATGGGTTTGACCTTGGAAAGCGAAGAAGGAGAAGTTCCACACCTGCGGTGGTCCCAGGCGCCACCCCTGCCTTGGCCAAGGCCGGGGTCGGCGGATATAGTTTAATATATATATATTATATTATATATGTATATATATATATTATATATATATATGAGCAGTTCGGTAATCCTGAATGCCGCGCCCGCGGAACGCCACTTTAGGTTCTCATTGGCGATCACCTGCAGCTGCCACCCACTGTGTTCATGCCCAATGCAGACGAGCTGTTGGTCAGCCGATCTTTGTTCGAACGGCTTTGCGTGGTTGGCATCTTGGATCATTGCTATCACACCTTACTATCATCTTTTGCTATTGGGGATACCACCTGGGCTTATTTTTTCAAATGACAGGTGGTGATTTGCTGGGAGAGCATGTTCAGTCCGACGTTTGTTCCATATGTCGGACATTTCGAGTCATGACCTCTGAAAATTCAAACATAGCACATGGAATTACATGAACAATCGACAGTGGGAAGAGTAACAAAGTTGCAGCCGACTGGTTCAGCCGATTTGTCCGAAGGCATTTGGCAAATGAATATTTTTGAAAGGCACCAAACAATATTCATTTGTCAACAGCCATTCTCTATTGGCTGGACCCCCCTCTTGCATGGCACGGATTATACCCGGATTCAGAAACTACGGCTCAGCGACCAAAACATAGTTTCGCTTCAGCCCTGACATTTCTGAAACAAAACAAGTGTCACCGATCTCAGCGTTCTTGAGATTCCCGCCCTTCATTAGGCTTGCTTCAGGGTTTATTTAGGTTTGGTTTGTGGTCTGTTTGGGTTTGTTGTAGTATTACTCTAGGGTTAACAGGATTTAGGTTTAGTCTATTTAGTTAGATTTAGTTTAGGGTTGGTTTAGTAGGGTTTCCGAAGCAGTTTCCGAAGCATGGTTGCCGAAGCATCGTTCCGAAGCCTGATTTCCGTTCAGAAAGGGTCAACCTGCACGGCACAGTGAAGCTGCTAACCTGCAAAGTCATGGGGGGTTTTTCTGCATCATACCATCATGCAGGTTGTTTCAAAAAAGGACAATCTGTCGCTTTAGTTAAGCTTCACCCAGCTGGTGCCTCACCCAGGACATAAGCCCGAGCTTCTACAGGAGCTACTTTGGGTGCAAAGTTCTGAGCACCTGGTTTTCCGCAAGAAAACAGGTCTGAACTTCGCCAGATCAAAGGATTTTTTGAAATGTTGGGAATTCAGCCCCATCCATTGCCCATCCATTCTTTCTGGTGGAAATCTTCCATCTTGCGCATCTTGTGACGACAGGAGCAGTACAGGATGGCGCCAGAAATCTCGGCATTTCCTAGAGCCTACTTCTATGAAGGCGATTCCAGTTTTCTCGCATGGTATCAATATCAAGTGAGAGGGAGTTTCAAGGCACTCCTCCGGATTTCTGCCACTTGAAAAACACCGTTTTGTTACAAGCATCCATCAAGGATCTTTCAATAAATCTTTTCTCCCTTGACAGTTTTGAACACATGGGGAAAACTTTCTGGCATTGGTGTTTTGATGCTACTGGTAACAGTGACAGGCCGATTGCAAGATGCCCAAGTGGTGCAGACTCGGCCACGTTGCGAGCTGGTGCCGCCTTTTCTGTTCTTGAATCTGAAGTCGTTCCTGGCCTCGTTGAAGAACGGGTCAAACAGAATTTTCTGTCATTTTTAGGGTCCAAACTTTGTGAACATATATGAACATATAACTGATTAAACTGATTAGATTCGATTAGGTGGTTGGACTCTTCAAGAGGCAATTCGATCTAGGGAAAAGCGTTTCAGGAACGCAATCGACTGAGGTTCGCGGAACGAAGACCCGATGGATCGTGGCTCAATCAGGTCGGACGCCCGGGAGTTTGAGATTTATACCGTTATCTCATTTTATTTGGGCATTTGGGCAAAAGGTGACCAGTTTGTTTCATAGGTGCAGGCGTCCCATTCAACTTATGTATAGATTGAAAGGTTGGAATTCATCGGAAGAATTGCTGGATTCAAAGCAACTTGTCTTGTGCCTGGAGTTATGTTAGCTCTCACCTTTTTAGACGTGTTTGAACATAGGATACCCCATTGCATCCCATAGTTTCTCAAATCAGTTTCCTGGGAGAATTGGCAGAACTTGAGGTATCTCCATGTTTGGGCATCAATTTAACATTTCCACGAAATTTGATTCAGAAAAACATGGGAGATTCTTCTCCTCAGGAAGGCGACTGATGAAACTTTGTTTGCGAGGCGGAGGCCTTCTTCTGCGTGAAGCTCGTCACAGACCTGCAGAAGCATGCTAAAATGCTGGGGCGAGAGGAGGTGGCAAAACGCATTGGCCCCTTGGCACAGATTTTCTCGGGATCACAACTTGCAGCAAATGAACATGGTACATCATGATACCCCAAAATATCCAAAATTGTAAAAAAATGCAAACACGTAGGTTCTTGGCAAAGCACACGTCTCAGCATCTTTTTCTCCCTGCATTGTTCAAGTTCAAGTGCGACGAAGGGGCACATCCCAGCTCAGATCCCCCCCGTAGAGGGGGGCTATGGATGCGGTCTGTCCCAAGTCTCAAAACATGCGTGCTCCTCCAAGGCATCATCACACCGTACAGGGCGCAGAAGAACTTCATCGACCAGTTGATTTGGAATGTGAAGCTCAAGCTCCAATTTCCGGTGAAGGTGGCAACCGTTGATGCATATCAAGGCCGGAATTGTGGGGTGACTCTGCGGTCAGAGATCCTTACTTTAAGCATTCTTCGTACGTAGTAGCAGGAGTGTTCTCCCCAAAACGTGTGGCACCCATCAAACTCCGCTCAGTTCCTCCTCGTCCCAATTCGCTCTTTGTTCCATGGCTGTAGCCACTGCTGAGGCCAGGAATTCGAAGCTGTGATTTGCTCCACGGTGCGAGCATCCCACAACCAGTCTGCTGGCATTGGCTTTCTGAGGGATGACAGAGACTTGGAAATGACATGGAGTACTGGTTCTGGCAACTTTTTCGATCTCAAAAACATCAAATGGAACCAGCTTGGAGTTTCTGTGACCACAGATATGATATGAGTTCCAGATATTTTTTCTGCCAGAGCTGAGGACGGCTCAATGTCGCATTGACCCGTGCCAAGCAGATTCTGCTGGTCGTTGGGCACGAACAGACCTTGTGCTACTGGGTCGAAATAGGCTGTGAATGGATCGTTACTGTACTGTAGGATATCCCAAACCCATGAAGATGCTATGAGGGATACAGTGCTGGATACAGTGCTTTATAAATGGAAGATCGAGCTCCTAACATTTTGACGATGATTTACCAAGATTTACAATTTTTATTGTGCATAAGGGCTTGCAGGTTTCAGTTTCGAACATTTGAAATAACCCCCTCAACTTTGGTGAAAGCATCAAGTAAAATTAAGTATCAAGAACTTTCCGGCTTTCCTGGCCACCTTCAATCGCCCTTCGATCTTCCAAGAGCATCTCCATTTGAGCTGAGGCCAATCCAAGACCCTTGCGGCCTTGATCAACCATGCGCGGAAGCACAATGCCTTCAGGTGGAGGGAACTGTGGAGACATGACATGACCTGACGAGAAATTTAGGACAAAGGGGAACCATGGGGAACCCAGAATAGTCTTGGCATGCTCTGTTGGGATAGAATTCAAGTGCTTCTATTGTTCCTCGCTTTACGAAAATGTTGATGTCGAACCAGAAGCATTTGAAATTTGGGCCAGAGGTTCAACATCTCTTGAAGGAATATTTAAATTATTTCGCAGCAGTCGCAGCAGTTCGTCAAACCGAGTCAAGCCAAGCCCTGGCACCAGGGATGTGCATGGCAACGATGATGTTCTCCTCACTGGGGATTGAGTGCCGAAATGAGGACAGCTGGGACACCTGGAGGACACTGTTTGAAAGAATACTTCTCTTATCTTCTCTTGCTTATGACAATTATGAGGATAGACCGAATTTATCACGGACGTCTGGCATTCGGGCTTGTGCTGAGATGTATGGACATTGCATTTCCATATCGGCAGAATGTTCTAGGGATGAGTCTAAACCTCTTATTTTTCCTTGCATGGACATCCACCACAAAAGCCACTATTTTTATGTGAAAACCAGGGTGCCGGAGGTTTGATCCATAGCCATATGATTCAGCTATGATTCATATGAGTCAATCAGAGGACCAAGCCTCTCCCTTCCCCCTTTTTCACACTGTTGCTTCCTCAATTGCACAGGAGCACCCAGCTTGGAGGATGTCCCGGAGAAAAAAATGGCCTTGACGACGTATAGAAATCGGCCTCATATTCTGGAACTGATCAGCAATGAACAGCACTTGAACAGCACCTTTGTATTTCTGCAGCTTTCTCTTGAGACTTCCTAATCTTCCCAGAGCCGAGCATACCAGGTATCAGAGTCCTGGATCCGCAATCCCCAGCCGTGCATTTGAAACACTGAAACATCCGCAAATTTTGGGACCCAAATCTTGGATTTCTCAAGAATGAATGAGAACACATTGAACACATGACTTTTTTAATACTTTTTTCCCCACCCTTAGACTGGCCAACTGGGCGCAACAAAAAAAGCTACACTTTGAACCTTCATCGCAACTGACATCGATGCGCCCGGAATTGCTGCAGCATGTCGTTGCCAACGAAGGAGGAGTGGGACAGCTGTTACCATCTCGGTGGAACATATCAAAGTCGTCGCTACCCAGATTTTGTATGTACATTATATGTTCATTTATGGATTAAATTAGATTAATTATATAGATTAGATTATGTGTTTTTTTTGATTAGATCAATTAGATTAAATTGAATTGGATTAGATTAGATTAGATTACATGAGTTTAGATGAGTTTAGATTTGCTGCTGCCGCGGCTGCTGTTGCCTGCTGCTGCTGATGCTCCTGTTGCTGCTGGTCTGCTGCTGTAACGACAACCCCTTCAGCTGCAGTTGCTGCTGCTGCCACTGCTGCTGTTGAAACAGGAAACTCTTATTCCCTGGCACGCCGGGGTCGGCGGATTAGATTCATATTTTAATTAGTTTGGATTAGTTTAGATTAACTAGTCACTAGTCTAGAGTTTAGATCAATATTTAGAGTAGATTGATTAGATTCGATCGATTACTATAGATAAGATTAATTCGATTAAATCAATTAGATTAGATGAGATAGATAGATGGGAGATGATCATATCAAAGCAAGCAAAGTACAGATAGCACCACCAAAACACATGTGTTTGAGGCACCCGCCAGTATATTCCTGTAAGATTTAACATAGAACAACAGGGTTCATTTAACTTACGTAACACGGGGCTGGCTCAAAACTCATGACCCCAACCACCTGCAAGGAGGAGGACAGCAGCCCCCGCAGAGGATTTGGACGATGGCTTTCAGACATCGTGCCTCGGCGACACTTCAGCCTGATGGCAATGCTGTCGCGTTTCATAAGGAGAAAAGAAGCAGCCAACAATTGGGTATGTCTGAAAATGGGGTATACGCCCAATTATAGCCATTTAGTAGGGATAATGATCATTAACCCTTGGATGTAGGGGTACACTATTTATAGACAAACCCAATTAGGAAATCTATGGCAATCTTAAGGCCCAGGCAACTGCTTTACAATCATCAATCATCAGAAATGTGTGTCCATTGCACTGGAACACACCCCACTATCCTTCAATCCCTTCATAAAATGATCAAATGGTTCGGTCAGATTCATGAGATGAACAAAGATACTTCACTGTTTGGTGGTTTCAACAACAGCATATAATTGCATATAACAGTACAATAGCCTATAACGGCATATTATACATATATAATAAAATATACATATATATATGTACATACATACACACATAAATGCATGCATACATGCATACATACATACATACATACATACATACATGCAGACATGCAGACATGCAGACATACAGACATGCACATATACACATACATTTACATTTACATTTACATTTACATTACATTTACATTTAAGTTTACATTACATTACATTTACATTTACATAACATTACATTCACATGTACATGTACGTTTACATGTACATTACATTTACATTTACAATTACATTACATTACATTTACATTTATTTACATTACATTACATTACATTTACATTTACATTACATTTAAATTCATTACATTACATTTACATTTACATTTAAGTACAGTACATTACATTTACAATTAAATTTCATTTACATTTACATTTAATTACATTACGTTCCATTTCGTTTACATTGACATTACACTTACATCTACATTTAATTACATTAAATTACATTTACATTTAATTACATTAAATTACATTTACATTCAATTACAGTACATTACATTTACATTTACATTTAATTACATTGAATTAGATTTATATTTACATTTACATTTAATTACATTACATTACATTTACATTTATATTTAACTACATTACATTTACATTAACATTTAGTTACATAACATTTACATTTACATATACATTTACATTTAATTACAGTACATTACATACATGTTACATATATATATATATACATGTATCTATACACATACACATATACATTTACATGTACATTTACATTTACATGACATTTACATTACATTTACATTACATTTACATTACATTTACAGTACATTTAAAATACATCTACATTACATCTACATTTATATACATTACATTTGCATTTAATTACATTACATTTTCATTTACATTACATTTGCATCCAATTACATTACATTACATTTACATTTACATTTATTTACATTACATCACACTACATTATATATATGTATGTTTCTATACACAGACACATATACATTTACATTACATGTATATTTAAATTTACATTACATTACATTTAGATTTTTTTACATTACATTACACATATATATATATACATCGATACACATACACGTTGGCATATACGTTTACATTACATGTGCATTTACATTTGCATTACATTTACATTTACATCTACATTCATTTACATTACATTACATTACATTACAATACAATACAATACAATACAACACAATACAATACAATACATTACATATATATGTGTATCTAGACACATACACATACACATACACATATACATTTGCATTACATGTACATTTACATTTACACTACATTTACATTTACATTTATTTACATTACATTACATATATATATGTATCTACGCACTGTAGGTATGATATTTCTATTTCCATCCAACCTGAGATGATCCCAAGGGACCTTCGTATTTTTCAGGGCCGAAACCAGCAAGGCCAGCGCTGGCCGCGAAGTGAAGCGCGTGGCGCGGGAAACGCGCGATGCCATGGTCTTGCTGCGGCACACGGCGAAGCATGGCGAACAGCAGGCGCGGAAAATGCACCAGGTTGCAATGGGTTGGTAAAATGGGTTGGTAAAATGGGAATGAGTTTAGAAAAGGATGGGTACGCGATTAAAAGCGGGTTTTATAGTGGGTCCTGTTCATGGCCTTGCTGATTGCTGCCTCTACTGTAAAGTGAAACAACTCTGAAGTACCTCCACACTGCGAAGAATTGAACCTGCCCACGGCCAAACACTTTCTGCTTGGTGTTTTTATGAAACATTGGTCAGTTTTCCATCAGACTTGGGATCATGAACCAGGCTTTAGACTACTTTTTATATAGCGGGTTGAAACCCCAACCAGCCAGGTGTGGATCACTTTGGATCGTAGAATATTTCACGCCTGTTGCGGCTTATCAAAAAAACATCATAACCCTTACCGCCCCATTTAGCAGCCCCAATTTTTTTTGGGGCCCACTCCAGAGAAACCTTGGCTCAGCTCCAGGTTTCCCGACCTGCACTACATCATGCAATTCAGGTAGAGGTGCTCTCTGCCACGGACTTGTCATTTGCAGCTGGGCAACACATGGGTAACCCTTGGGAAGAGAGGGGAAAGGATTGGAAGATAGGTCCAAACATGTGCAAAGTGTCAATGGATCCCCTATAGATCCCTTGGATCAAGAAAAATTGACAAGAACGCCACGTGAAGGAAGGTGAATCATGCTTAATTATGCTTCATTTTGGCAATTTTGATGGAGGGTTAGATATGCTGCTTGATTTTGCGACAGTAATGGACATCACACGCCTCTGTCACCCTCTGTCGAATGCCTCAAACACAACATTTCTTAGCTGGTCCTAAAATGAGTCAAGATTTGTTGAAACTTCCGGCTCATGAAGCACAGCTGTGTTGGAACTCAGGTCAAATCCCTTCCAGTGCCTTATTGTGTGGTGGTGACTGGATATCCTGACCAGCCCTGGGGGAAGAAATGCGATGGCCGGGAGTACAAGACCTCTCCGGCCCTGCGAGAACGCCATCCGCGGTGGAACGCGCTGTGCCACGTGGCCTTTCCACCGGACCAGGTCTCTGTTTCGCGCGTGGAATTTGGCAAAGCCACTGAGGCGCCGCCAGTGGAACTCTGCGTGCGCGTCATGGACGCCGGGGGCCTCCGTGGTGATCGGATGGCTGGGGAGGCGCGGGTGCGGCTGGGCCAGGCCAGCCATGGGGCCGGCACCTATCGGTTGATGGGCGGTGGATACGCCACGTTGTCGGTGCGGTGGTCCATCCCCGACAAGAACACGGGGCCGAGCACCAAGACCCCGGAGGAAGAAGCATTTGAACGTGCGGCAAACTTTTGGGCGATGAGAGATCTCAGCAGTTCTGAGGGGATCACTCATGCGCAGCTGGAACTTGCAGCCATTCTGGCAACAGAACCAGTTCATGAAACTGAGAACCTTGGTTGCATTTCAACTTTAACAGATTTTGTGTCAAGTGGCTACATATCAATACAAGATAGCACAGGATTCTCCACCTTTTTGCCTTTTTGTCTAATGTTGGGACGATCCATCTAAAAGTATATATTGTCCCCCAAAAATAGCTGAACAACTCTTCACATCCCCATAAGGTATGTACTCGTATTTTCATAGGTCATATATTCGCTTCATGTGTGGAATGTGAAAGCTATAGGGCACAAAAAATGGGTAGTTTACCCCAAACACCACTGGGTTCTCCAAGCCTTTTCCCCTCAGCCAGGTTCAAGGAGGACGCAATGCGGCCGCACATCAATGAACTGATTCTCCAAGCCCCATTGCCGCTGGGCACCGCTGGATGGCACCGGTGGCCATCGGGACGGATGGTGACTTGGGGGGCCCTGGAGTGTGTGATATTTTTGCGCATCAAGAAGCTTCCACCATAATCGTTTTTTCCCGAATGCGTAGCAAGGGTTCCCGTTTCACTCTGGGGGTCTGGGGGTTGAGGGTGTGTTCGCTAGACGTTGCGTTTGTGGTCGCAACCGTCCGCAACCGTCCGCAACCGTTTGCAACCGTTCGCAACCGTTCGCGCGATCCCCGTATGGCCGTGCCTATGGGAAGTTTTGCAGAGGTGGTCCTTTTTGGAGGTTTCAGACGTCTGGTTGCTTCGTTTCGCGTGGCAGGCGTGGCACTTCGTGACATTCAGACGTGTTCTGGAACGTGTCGAAAGTCGTTTTGCATGGCAGGCGCAATACTTTTGCGACGTTTTCAGAAGATGTGTTGCAGTTTTCGTGGCAGGCGCAGCACTTTGGACGTGTCCATCGTCATTTTTCGTGGCAGGCGCAGCACTTTAGACGTGCCGTGTTGCGTGTTTTTTGCAAATCGCATTGGCAGGGCTGCGTCAAGTGGCGACAAGGTGCAAATTCCGTGGCAGTCGTGGCATTTTGTGCGATGTGCTGAAAATTGACGGAAGCCTCGCACGAAACATCGATTTTGAGGTTGCAAATTTTCAGGTTCTAAGGAAAACTCGTAGGAAAACGTTGATTTTGAAGCTACAAAGTGTGAAAATTGGAGGAAGTCTCGCACGAAATGCTCGTTTTGGTGCTCCTACCTGTCTCGTCTCGAGTCTCTGGTTTTCCTCTGGCCTCGCCGTGTCTATGGGGGAAGCTGCAAAACTTGTCCTTTTGTCATGTTGCCAACTGTGAAAATTGGAGGAAGTCTCGCACGAAATATTGGTTTTTCTGCATCCACGTGTCTTGTCTCGAGTCGCTGGTTTTCCTGTGGCGTCGCCGTGTCTATGGGGGAAGCTGGAAAACATCTCCTATTCGAATGTGTCCAAGCAGGTTGTCATGTCGTTTTGCGTGGCAGGCGCGGCACCACTTTGTGACATTCCAAGCTGTTTGAAAACGTGTTGAACATGTCAAAATTGGAGGAAGTCTCGCACGAAATACTGTTTTTTCTGCATCCATGTGTCTTGTCTCAAGTCGCTGGTTTTCCTGTGGCGTCGCCGTGTCTATGGGGGAAGCTGGAAAACATCTCCTATTCGAATGTGTCCAAGCAGGTTGTCATGTCGTTTTGCGTGGCAGGCATGACACTTTGTGACATTCCAAGCTGTTTGATAACGTGTCGAAAATATCAAGCTTGGAGGAAGTCTCGAACGAAATGCTCGTTTTTTTGCACCCACGTGTCTCGTCTCGAGTCTCTGGTTTTCCTGTGGCGTCGCCGTGTCTATGGGGGAAGCTCCGCACTCCACACTCTACACTTTACACTCCACACTCCACAATTTACACTTTAGACTCCACACTCTACACTTTACACTCCACACTTTGCACTTTACATTCCTCACTCCTCACCTGAGACTTTACACTCCACACTCCACACTTTACACTACACTCTACACTTTCCACTCCTCACTCCTCACTCTACACTTTACACCCCGCACTCTACACTTTACACTCCACACTCCACACTTTACACTAGACACTCCTTACTCTACACTCCACACTTTACATTTTACACTCCACACTCCACACTCTACACACCACACTCTACGCTTTCCACTCCACACTCCACACTCCACACTCTACACTTTACACTCCACACTTTACACTTTACACTCCGCACTCCACACCCCACACTCTACACTCCACGCTTTCCACTTTACACTCCTCACTCCACACTCTACACTTTCCACTCCACACTCCGCACTCCACACTCCACACTTTACTGTACACTGCACACTCCACACTTTATGCTTTACACTCCTCACTCCACACTCCACACTTTACACTCCTCACTTTACACTCCACACTCCACACTCTACACACCACACTCTACACTTTCCACTCCAGACTCCACACTCTACACTTTACGCTCCACACTCCACATTTCACACTCCACACTCCACACTTTACACTCCACACTCCACACTTTACACTCCTCACTCCACACTTTACACTCCACACTTTACACTCCACACTCTACACTTTACACTCTACACTATACACTCTACACTCCACACTTTACACTTTACACTCCACGCTTTCCACTTTACACTCCACGCTTTCCACTTTACACTCCTCACTCCACACTTTACACTTTACACTGCACACTCTACACTTTACACTCCACACTCCACACTCTCACTCCACACTTTACACTCCACACTCCACACTTTACACTCCACACTCTACACTTTCCACTCCACACTCCACACGCTACACTCTACACTCCACACTCTACACTTTACACTCCACACTCCACACTTTACACTCCACACTCCACACTTTACACTCTACACTTTACACTCTACACTTTACACACTTCACACTCTACACTTTCCACACTTTACACTCCTCACTTTACACTCCACACTCCTCACTCCACACTTTACACTCCTCACTTTACACTCCATACTCCACACTCCACACTTTGCACTTTACACTCCTCACCCCACACTCTACACACAACACTCCACACTCCACACTCTACACTTTGCACTCCATACTCCACACTCTACACATTACACTCCGCATTCTACACTTTACACACTCTACACTCCCCACTGCACACTTTACACTCCACACTCCTTACTTCACACTCCACGCTCCACACTCTACACTTTCCCCTCCACACTGCAGACTGGTAACAAGGGAAACATGTACAAGACTGTTCAAATAAACTATTGCAGAAAGGTATTGTGCGTGACTGCATATCCATGTGTTTTGACATCTGTACCATTAACATACTGAGCATTCGGGTTCGTGGGCTTCATCTTGTTTTCAAAAAGAGTGATCCGATTGAGTGGCAGATGAGAAAGCTTGTGTATCTCTGAAGGGCCACTACGCCTCTTTGCAAGATTCTTCGCTTGTAGCTCACCTTATTCTTGAGCAACACAGCAGCCCGTTAAAAAGATAGTTTCAAAATGGGAAACGGGAAATTATGATGCAAACATACTACAACAGTCTTGGACATACCTTTCCAATCCTTTCCATCCATTTGTTGGTTGGCAGTGGTATGTTGACCGATGTAGGAAAACGACTTGGCGCTGCGCGCTGGTTTTGAGGTCGGCACTTTTGCTAAATGATCTGGATCCAAAAGAGATCCAGGGAGCGGAAGTGCAAAGCCCAGGTGCCATGCTGTGGCGTTGCAGGTTTCAGAGCAAAGCAACAGATTCAACAGATCAAGAAGATACTGTGAAGATAGGCCGAAAGGCTGAAAAAATCACTCACAGATGTACAAATCAATAATCATCCCATTTCCCTAATATATCATATATAATCATATATATATATATCTATATATCTATATATCTATCTATATTCCTATATCCTAATATGATCCTAATATGCAATATCAGCCCCTTGGACAGGACTAGATCCAGTACGAACGCCCGGGGTTTGGAGCGGAGGCAGCCATTCGTTGATGACGGTGCTGTCGGAACATCTCGATCTCCTGACCCCTCTGGCAGGGAGCCGCCTCGTAGGCGGATGCGGGGGGATGGTCCCACCGATCATGGGGATTTATACTATGTATAATACATACATATATCATATATATATATACATACTGTATAAAGTATATGAATATGTAAATATGTGGATTGTATCATCGTATCCGGATAGTATGTTTAAGTTCTTCAGGCTCTCGGCCCTCGGCCCTTTCCCAATGCAGTCCAGTTCGAAAAAGTTAACGACGGCAACTTCTCTGGAATTATGATAACCTCTATGAACACCCTGTGTTTACAAAACATGATAAAGGTTGCGAAAAGGACTTGAATGTTTTGACCACGGCACATAGTTATATACCATAGTTTGGGGGATGAACATCCAATTACGAGCTCTTTTTGGGTTACCAATACCTCATTGCAGACCACCCACATGGCAAATTGGAGTACTCAAAAATGTATGGATGACCAGCGTTTGTGGTTTCCTGTCTTGAATTCTGATCCATCCTCACATTGCTGGCTGGAGTTTTCAAATACATTTATGAATCATTTATGTATGATTATGATTTGATTATGTATGTTTTTTCGATCTCAAGGGATGTTCGTTCTGGTGATGTCAGATTGTCCGGGGTCGCCCATTTTTGCCAGGCGCCTTGGTGGAGAAGCTGCCGAGTTTCCGTCACCTGGCGGAGTTGTTTGACCCAGCAACGGCGAGTTGTGATGGATAAAAGGTGATATCATGTGATATCATGTGATATCAACCATTTGACATGAAATGGATGGGATAACATGGGATAACAACTGTTTGAAGAAAGATTGTTTTTTTTTTTCACACTTTTCCATCTATCTGGAGACCTGTTGGTTTCTAGATGTTGCAAGCCTTGACGGATACAAACTATGGCACCCTGCCGATTTTTGCACATGTGGTAAAGCCAGTTTTCCAAACCTTCACAAAAATGGGGCTTTGTACCAGCCATTCCTAGGATGGGGATGGGTTTATGACTCCCTGTATTTGGTTTGCCACATTCGGTTGGTGCTGTGATTTGACAGGTGGATCAATGCCTTTGGAAGATCCAAACTTCTTGCTGGTGCAGCGCTGTGGGGAAGCATGGGAGGCGGGGCTCGGCTACCCTTGTTGGCGCTGTTGGCTGTTAGAGCGGGTTAAGTTATACCACATTGTACCACCTGGTTTAATACGGATTCTCATATGTACATAACATGTACATATATATATATATACACATATACATATACATATACATATATCTATTCTTATTCACCGTTGCTAGTAAGAGGAAGATTAATCATCCGGTATTTTGTTTCTATTTCAGAATTCATATTTTTTGGCATGGGTCAGTTCCCCAACCTTCAAGGGGAAGGGACAAAGAATTTCCGAGCTTTGGTAAACCTTTTGGGGTATTTAGTACGCATCGGGCTGGTAGAAGTTCGCGCGTGTTTTTGGGGTCAACGAAGTAACATTTTGAAGGCCGTGGGGATGGTTTCTATAAACCCAAAAGATATCAACATCCCGGCCGGGTGACAATCGCGCTAAATCAAATGTGCTTGGCGCGAATCACTTCATGTTAGAATTGCACCTTGAAAACCCCGGAGATTTTGAAGACCCCTTGTAACATTCCATTGGGTTTTACAAGGCAAAGCTTCTTCAAAGCACAACATTTTTCCTCCTTGTGTATGTGCAAGAAAAGATGTCTCTAGCATCGCATCAAGTATGTGAGTAAGTGCAGGAAAAGATGTATATAGCGACGCAGGAAGTATGTGTGTATGTGCAACAAAAAACATCTGTAGCGTAGCATGAAGTATGTGTGTATGTGCAAGAGAATATGTCTCTAGCGTAAAAAGAAGAATGTGTGTGAGTGCAAGAGAAGATGTCTCTAGCGTATCAGGAAGTATGTGTGTATGTGCAAGAAAAGATGTCTCTAGCATAGCATCAAGTATGTGTGTAAGTGTAATTGAACGTTATTGGCCCCACCCACCCCACCCCCCCCCCACCCACCCCCCCCCAAAACCACCAAAGATGCATTTGTATTGCGGTTTTCTACCAGCCCGACACCTTTTATATACTGTATCCATTATATCAAACTCATTAGTTGTAGGCATCTTATTCACGTGTTCACATATGACACATGTTCAGCTCATGTCCTTCCCTTCTCATGTTCAACCCCTCGGTGTGAAGGTTAAGTGGTGAATAGACTTGTTCGTGGGGTAAATCCCAAGGCATGACAGTTGGGCAAATGATATCCACTCAATGGGCACAGATTTGGGACATTGGGACATTCTCCAATCAACATTTGGGGCATCGACTGTTGGGGCATTCATTGCTCTTTGATTTCCTTTCCATATCGACATCCTTGGATTGTCGAACATATCCGCATTTTTTGGTGGTTCATTGGTTTTATTTCCACTCGTTTGGTGGCAATCTCGCTATTTTTCATGTCACCCAGACTTTGACCCAATGAACAATAATCGCCTGCACATGGAGCGGGTCAGTGGCAAATTCCCCAACATGTTTGCTTAACGAACATTTTCAATACAGACGATTCTACTCATCGGGATCTTCACGAGGAAATCATCCCATCCCACTTTTTCGATGGCTTGGTGGCTTGGTACATTGTGTGAGCCATTACCCCCTGATGAAGGGACCCCATTCCCATGCTTCCCATACCATTCCCTTGTAACCAGCTTGTAGTGGTAGTCATGGAAAATCATGGGTTTGAGGCAAAGAAGAACATCTCAAGAATTGTCGATGAACATCCCAAAATACCTGGCATCCCATTGCTTGCCCGTTCCACTGCATCCCCCCCAAAATCATGGGCTCACATTTTGAACGATTAAACTGAAGCTGAAATATCAACAAACACATCTATATGATTATATGGACCAAAGTTTATGATCCATTTTTATCAATTTTTCTCCAGGTTTACTCAGTTTGCATCAATTCCATGTGCAGTGCTCCGTCGCCAGGTATCAACCTACTTCGTGTCCGAAGCCGTGGAAAAGAGAGCTCAAGATTTGCCCCTTGCATTAGGGTTCAAAGAGTGTTCGCGCACTACGTGCCTTGCACTCGGGTTTGACGGTCCATATCGCTTCGCATGGTAGCGGAGCTGGCTACCTTGGCCAGCTCTGCTCGATCTGACGTTGGTGGAAACCTGAGGCTTCGAACAGTGGCCGCTGGTGAAGTGAAGCTTAGGGGTGCTCGGTTGACTTTGCAGACGCCCCGAGACCTCTTAACTTCATTGGTTCGCAGTGCAGCAATTTTCGGGTTTTGGACCTGGGTGATTTTTGCTTGTGCAATCGGATCGGTGGTGATTTACAGCATGGCCACAGCAGATGGTTCCCCAACGGGTGCAGCAGCCCAGCCAACGGAAATGCAGCAATTGGCGGGTTTGTTGCAACAGGTTTTACAAGAGCAACAGCAGCAGAGGGCTCGGATGGATGAGCTGGGTCAGGCAGTGCAGACTACGGGTACAGCATTGCATGGGACACAGCAGACGACTGAACAGGTGATTGCTCAGGTTGTAGAACGTGTGCAAACTACAATCCAGCAGGAACAACAAGATCATCAAGGAGCTGTCAATCAATTGGCACAGGCTGTTCAGACGTTGCAGACTCAGGTGCAAGCCATTCCGACTGTAGCTGCTGATCAACTCAATCAGATCGGGCAAGCGGTTCAACAGATGCAGGGGCAGATGCAACAATCAGTGAGTGCAGATCAATTACAACAGATGGGTCAGGCGATGCAGTCGCTTCAATCTCAGGTTCAACAGTTGAGCATGGGAGGTGCAGCCGCGGTGCAACCCCCTCCTGCGCCTTCTGGTTCACCGCAGGCGGCAAGCCCTCCAGGAGCACCGCCACCGACGTTTCAGTTTGGTGGAGCTCAGATGGGTGGAGGTGGCTTTGGGCTTGGATCAATGACTGGTTCAGGTGTTAGCCCAGCGGTGGCCTATGCAATCCAGCAGGGTGGTGTTGACAGTCGTCAGCTTGGGAAGCCATCGACCTACGACCCTGTGAATGCCAAGGTGAGTTTCCAAGATTGGTCGGACAGCATCATCACTCTTGCTGATTCTACGATGCCTGGGATCTATGAATGTCTGGAATGGATAGTGACTGCACAGCCTCGAAACACCCTGGACCTGAGCTACCTCAAGGTGAAATTTCCGATGATGGATCAGACATTGCTGGCTTATGCAGAGTCCAATGTCTACGGGATGTTGAGCACCTACACAAGTGGTGAAGCTCGGTCCCTTGTTCGACAAGCCCGTCGACCCAATGGGATGGAGGCATTTCGTCTCTTACAAATTCGGTTCAACCCTGTGACGATTGGCAGGCAACGTGCACAACTGATGAAGATCGCCAATCCTCAGGAGAACATTCCCCTTGACAAACTTGCTGCAGAGATCGTGGTTTGGGAGAACAGGATTGTGGACTATGAAGCTCGACCAGGAGCTGAACGAGTGAGCGAGCAGATGAAGATGGCTGCAATGATTCACATGGCGCCGGCAAAGCTACGGGAGCATTTGCAACTGAATGCTGGACGGTTTAGCAACTATGTGGATCTTCGGGAGGAGATTTTCTCATACCTGGATCAGGTGGCACCTGTGAGTCAGACGACCATGGACATCAATGCGGTGGATCGTACAAAAGGGTGCTTCAACTGTGGTGGCCCTCATCTTGCTCGTGATTGTCCTCAAAGCAGCAAGGGTGGAAAGTCGAAGGGCAAAGGCCCAAAGGGGAAAGGTGGAAAAGATGGCCAGAAAGGCAAAGGGAAAGGCAAGAGCTTTGGCAAAGATGGCAAGGGCAAAAAGGGTGGCAAAGTGGGCAAGTCCGTCCCCACTTGTTCAAATTGTGGAAAAGCTGGACATGACTACAATGCATGTTGGAGCAAGCCGAAGGCCTTGAACTCGGTGGACCCTCGCCTAGCACAGATGCAATCTCAGTATGCCAAAGCGGCCTTGGAGGATTTCAAGAAGATCTCTGGGGCAGTCGCCAACGCACCTGCTGCTCCAGTGATCCAGATGTGCAACAATGTGCCAAGACCTCCAAGCCAACCTACATCGCCTTCATCAACTCAGGCACCTTCAGCGTCTACAGCTCATGTTGGAAGTTTGCTTGTGAGGAGTTTGCGCGCTTTGAGCAGGCGCGCAATGGAGTTGACTGAGACGATCTTTGGGCAGTCTGCGGCGAGTGTGGTGCAGACTCATTTGTCACGTCTGGTGACATCTCCTGCCCAGGTTTTGGTGACCTTGGACAGTGGAGCGGCGGCATCAGTTTGCCCCGAAGGAGTCTTCGATCAATGGCCTCAAGAAGAAGGAGAAGCAGGGCTGAGTTTTCAAGCCGCAGATGGATCGATAGTGCCAGAGTTGTACAAGGTGAGACCTCTGGTGGTGACAGATGAAGGCCAATACCGGCAGACCCAGTTTTCAGTGGCCAATGTGAACAAGGTCCTCATGTCAGCAACTCAGGTGGCGAATCGTGGCCATCGCATTGTTCTTCAGCCCTACTACATGGAGAGCTACATTGAGGACATTGCCACTGGAGATCGAATGGCCTTGTATCAGCAAGATGGGGTCTATGTGCAACGATTGACCCATGTGACACCAGGCCCAACAGAGGGTTTTACAGGGCCGGCACCGGACTATGTTCCTTCGGTGCTTTGAGGGAACAAGTCTATGCTGTAAGTCCCGTTGAAGTCAGTGCAGAAGATGCCCCACGTGCTGATGGTGCTGATCGAGATGGGCTTGAAGGTGGCAGTGATGGATACTCTGCAACATCAGTGGCAGAGTCAGAGCAAGAGAAAGGAGTTTTTGATTTGGGTGATGAAGCCGAGGCGCAAGAGGCTGAGGCTCGAGGTGATGTGCATGCTGAATTTGAGGAAGAAACTATGAGGCTGGGGCAAAGAACACCAGCCAAACCGAGTGCTGAGGAAGTGAGGCAGCACTGTATCAGCCACATACCGTACAGAAGCTGGTGCAAACACTGTGTCCGCGGACGTGGACGGACAGCCATGCATCAGCGCAGACCAGATGATGCGGAGGCACAATCGAGAAGAAGGCCAACGGTTCATCTGGACTATTTTTATCTGGGAGCTCGATCGGAAGAGACGCTTCCTATTTTAGCAGTTTTGGATGAGCAATCGGGTCGGACGTTTTCCATTCCGATGCCGTGCAAGGGTGTTGGACATCAATACTGCAGTGCTGTTCTGGTGAAGATGCTTCGACTTTTGGGTCTTCAGAATGGCATCCTGAAAACCGACGGAGAGCGAGCTTTGGTTGCTCTTCGAACTGCTGTGCAAGAGAAGCTGGTGGACATGGGCCATGAGGATGCGGCAAAAGGTGAATCTGCTTCAAATGGAGCAATCGAGTCAACAGTTGGTCGTCTGCAAGGTGTGGCCAGAACACTGAAGAGTTCTTTGACAGAGCGCTACGGTGAAGTTGGGCCGCGCCATCCAATACTTTGTTGGATGATCAACTATGCTGGATCACTTTTGTCGAGGTTTTTGAGAGGAGAAGATGGCCACACTGCCTATGAACGTAGCACTGGAAAATCTTGGCGAGTACAACTTCCTGAGTTTGGAGAGTGCGTTTTGTTCCAACCGCTGAAGGGCGAACGGGACACCAAAAAGGTTGAGCCTCGTTTTGAGTCTGGAATTTTTCTGGGCATACAAGAGGGCACAGCAATGAGGTGGATTGGAACTGCAGATGGTGTTGTCCGCACCTGGACGATCAAACGGGTGCCCGATGATGAGAAGTGGCAGAGATCTTTGTTGGATCAGATGGTTGGACTTCCTTGGCAGCTTCGACCTACGTCCTCAAAATCTTTGGAAAGTGAGGCACCTGCAGTCGAGATTGAGTTGGCCGAAGAAAAGCCAGAAGACGTTTTGCCAGCTGCTGAGCCAAAAAGGCGGAACTACATTCCCAGAGGGATCTATGTTCGTCGTGATGTGGAGCTCAAACAGTTTGGGTACACGGATGGTTGTGATGGTTGTGAACGAGCCCGTGCAGGTTTGTCACACAGGGCCCATAGCCAAGCTTGCAAGCAGCGGATCATGGAGGAGCTCAGCAAGACAGAGGCTGGCAAGAAAAAGGTGGACAAAGTTCGCCGCAAAGAGGAGGAATACCTTGTTGCCTATCAAGACAGAGAGGAAAAGAGAAAAGCCGGCGAGCAACAAGGTGATGGATCAAAGAAACAGAAATCTGCAGAAAAGGAGTTTGAAGAGATGGATCAGATCCTCAGTGGAGCTGGGGGTATCGGCCAAGGGGGCCGTGATGAACCTGCAGCCAGTGGACCTGCAGAAGCACCGGCAGTTCTTGATGATGCTGGTGAAGCTGCCGGAGCTGGAGGTGGAGTCATGGACGTTGAGAGCCATGGCAATGATGTCCAAGTTTCAATGGACATCGGAGTGCTGCATCGTTTGAAGTGTGATGCGGACTTTGAGGAGAAGGTTCGAGAGGCGAGCCTTATGGAGACGTCTCAACTGATGATGGATGAAGAAGTTGAGACGAGAAGACTTCTTTTGCAGATTGGTGCAGTGAGCTTGGAGGAGGCCTATGACTTCAAGCAGCCGTCGATTGTGGAGTTGTTTTCTCCGCCCCGAGTGACAGGGTATGGTGGTGGCAAGCAGCTATCAAATGGTGTAGCCTTGGATTTGACGACCACAGATGCAGAAGGGCGACCATGGAATTTTTGCGATCCAGATTGCCGAGATCGGGCAGACAAGCTGGTGGAAAGTTTGGATCCTGACCTTTTGATCGGGAGCCCACCATGCGGGCCATTTTCGGCTCTACAGGCCTTGAATGTTGGGAGGGCCAATGCTGAGGTGATGCAAGCAAAGCTGGATGACGCTCGAGAGCATTTGAAATACTGCTGTCAACAATATGAGAAGCGCATTCAAGCTGGCAGATACTTTTTACATGAACATCCTCATCTTGCTGGGTCTTGGGATGAGGAGTGCATCAAGCGTTTGGAAAACCACCCTGATGTTTTACGGGTGACTGGTGACATGTGCGAACAAGGGATGACTGTCAAAGATGATGATGGGTTGGAAGGTTTTGCAAAGAAGAGGACTGGGTATTTGACCAACAGCCCTTACATCGCTGCAGAGCTTGAGGTTTTGTGCAGCAACGAGCCGGGTGCAGTTCAGATCTGGCGAGAGACTTGCTATGAACCGAAAAAGGGACAGCTTCCTGGGAGAAAGGGACCGCATTGGTCCTCAGTTGTTCGCAGGGTCACTCTGGATGTTACAAATGGCAGAGTTTTGCAAGATTTACATGATGCATGCAATGCGGAAAAATCGTTGGTGAAATTTACAATTCCTGATGGGTGCGTACGGGTGGAGACTTTGTTTTACTACAAGGTAGAGGGCAAACGTTGGCACAGGCACATCCCTCTGATTGGTGGTAAGGCAAAACAATGTGAGGTTTATCCACCGGGGCTCATCAGATCAATTTTGCGTGGGCTTCGCAAACAATTGCGCAAAGATGTTCCAATTAGCAGTTTGGATTTTGGGCCCACAAATCAGGAGCAAGATGTTGATTTTTCTCTGGTCTCTGAAGATTGGAGTACATTTTCAGATGAGATTTCTGGCAAAGCACTGGAAACAACAATGGTGCAAGCAGCTCGTGCGGAGGAGATTGACTTCGCCAATCGGTATGGTGTTTGGACTCCAGTGCCGATACAACAAGCTTGGGACAGAACTGGCCGTGGTCCAATTTCTTCAAGGTGGATTGATGTGAATAAAGGAGATGAGAAAAGACCGCAGTATCGGTCGAGGTTGGTGATTCAAGAAGTTCGCCAATCGAATGTGGAAGCGATTTTCGCTGCCACCCCTCCTTTAGAATCTGTCCGCATGCTGCTCAGCATGCAAAGATCTGGATTTGAAGTTGACCACAAAGGTCGTGTTCGCAAAGTGATGTTCATCGACATCAGAAGGGCGCATTGGGCAGCTCGAATTTTTTGAGAGGTTTACGTTGCACTTCCGACGGAGGCTGGACTCCCGGAAGGCATGTGTGGCCTTCTGCAAAAGGCTATGTATGGGTGTCGAGATGCAGCAGCTTGTTGGGAGCTTGAGATCAGTGATTTTTTTTACATGCAATGGTTTTACACCTGGTTTGGGCAGCCCTGTACTTTTTGTGAATCAGACTCGCAACCTGCAAGTCTCAATACACGGGGATGACATCACAGTCCTTGGGTTTGAGGACGATTTGCAGTGGCTGAGAAACAGATTGGAAGAGCGCTATGAGATCAAGTTCGGTGGACTCTTGGGCCCGGACAAAACTGATGTTCAAAATGTTGCTCTTCTGAACCGGTTGATTCACTACGGACCGGATGCAACAACAATTGAGGCTGACCCACGACATGTGAACATTTTGATGAATGAGTTGAATTTACATGGGGCAAAGACAGTTTCATCTCCTGGTGTTTCAGCAAAGGATGCAGATGAAACTCCCCTTACAGGTGCTGATGTTTCCAGGTACAGGAGTTTGGTCATGCGCTGCAATTACCTTGCCCTTGACCGCCCTGACATTGGATTCAGTGCAAAGGAGTTAGCTCGGCGTATGCAACAGCCGACAGTGGGAAGTTGGCACGGCTTGAAACGGATGGTTCGTTACTTAGCTGGGCATCCGAGATTGGTGTGGAGATACATGCAACAAGACAAACCGGATTGTTTGAAGATCCACACTGACTCCGACGATGCTGGATGTCAATCAACAAGGAAATCAACTTCCTGTGGTGCACTTTTTCATGGAAGACATCTTTTGAAATTTTACAGTTCAACGCAACATGTGATTTCGCTGTCAAGTGGAGAATCGGAGTTTTATGCTGGCATCAAAGCAGGATCAACATTGCTTGGTGGACTGGCTACAATGATGGACCTTGGAAACTCCCTGCATGGAGTACTGGTCTTCGATGCAACGGCAGCGAAGGCAATGATGGGCCGTAGAGGCCATGGTCGAGCAAAGCACATTTCGAGGTGCTACCTATGGCTGCAGCAGAAGGTACATGACAAGGAGTTGACTTTAGAAAAGATCGGAACGCGAGTCAACACTGCAGACCTGGGTACGAAGTTTTTAGATGGTGGTCGAATCCAAGAACTCATAGCTGCGATGAATTTGAGCTTTTCAACTGGTAAACATCAGTTGGCTCTGGATGCATAGTAAAGTGGATCAAGCGACAATGCAGCTAGATCCAAGGGGGCCTGCATCAATTCCATGTGCAGTGCTCCGTCGCCAGGTATCAACCTACTTCGTGTCCGAAGCCGTGGAAAAGAGAGCTCAAGATTTGCCCCTTGCATTAGGGTTCAAAGAGTGTTCGCGCGCTACGTGCCTTGCACTCGGGTTTGACGGTCCATATCGCTTCGCACAGTTAGTTCCCTATTTTGTGGTCCCAACAGTCCCCTTTCCGAGCCCATTTTTTCAGGACTTCCTGTGCAAAGTCTTCCTGCACTTCCAGGGCTCCAAGCTCATCGAGCTGAAGCGCCTCATCGATGCTGCCGGAGGCGGCCGGGATCTGCGACACTGCGTGTATTCGGTGATCACCAGCGAGGCCGATTGGGGATGGGGCCCATGGGGATGGGGGGGTTGGTGAATCTCCCAGGTTTTTGGAGTGCTATCAATTTTTTTTGGGGATCGAATCCTTTTTTGATTGGTTTTATTGCTGATTTTTTGCTGGACAAATCCTGATGTTGATCGCTGAACTTCTCATTTTCGACCTTTGCATCATGATTTGTGGTTCCTTCCATCCATGGAATTTTGGTTGACGATATCAGTTTTCTCTTCATCTTGCTGGTCAGATATCTCCCTACACTTGGCACTTTTCTCCCCCTCACTTGAGGACACATCCAAATAGACCATTTTGGCCCGATCTCCCCTGTTTGTTGGTGCTTGATCCTGCGTGTGGTGACTGAACTGCCCGGATGGCAGGTTCGCCGTGCCGCTGTGCTAAAGCATTTCTCGGAGGAGGCAGAGAAGCTGCAGGACTTTCCGCTGCACATTCTGTCGGACATAGACCAGACCGTGTTCATTGGCACCTTTGGGGCAGGCTGTGACGATGGGTAGAATTTTGCTGGGAGGTTGAAAGCTATATGAAAAAGGGCTGGCAGATGACTTGCAAATTTTTGCATAGAACTAGATTTCAAACTCGAAGATTTTCCACACCCAGACTTGCCACCAAATCCGCCATTTTGATCCGGTGGTGCATTTTACTGATCTCCCAAGACCATTGGTTCTTGTGATCCTCTGCCATCCTGGCAGGTGGGCCAAAGTTTCCCGTGGGTCCGGTGCCAGGGGCTTTGCCTCTCTTTCGAGCCTTGGGTGCACGTGTGACCTTTCTCTCGGCGAGACCGCCAATCTGGGAGGGACAGACGAGGCTTGCCAATGGGTGTGTTTGAAGGTTGGGGACACATTTTTCCGGAAATTGCCCTAACAATTCTTGAGGATTGCTGGTAGATTTGAACTCAAATTTTCCTTTTGTGGGTTGCTGTCACAGGCGCCTGCTGGACGATATTGGCATTGCCGAAGCGGTGGTCTTGCTGCTGGATTGCAACGGGGTGATATGGGTCTGTTGGATCCTATTGGTTTGTCTAGGAGACAATTGAAATTTACAATTGTTACAATCTATATAAATTTATTTTGAGGGAGAAACTGTTTATATAACATCAAATTTTAGGGCACCATATTTCATATTTCAGTGAAAAGCATAAAGAGGTGGAAGCTGATGGTTGGTGTCAGGAAAATGTCACCAGTGCATTGGATCAATTCATCTTCTGCGGTCTTCATACTGTGAGGGGATGGGTTTTCCTGCATACTTTTCAACCGACATATTGATTATTTTGCCATATTTGGAGAAATGCCTCTCAACCATATATATATATAATTATATATACATATAATAATATATATATATATATTATAATAATACAACTAATAAAAAATGATAATAATAATAATAACAATAATAATAGTAACAATAAAACAAACAATAATTAAATAATAATAATTAAATAGCAATAACAATAATAATAATAATGATAATAATAATACATATATATATATATTATATAATATAATATAGTTATTTGGTTACTTAATTAGCTAACCCCCCCTCTGTGAAATCAGATGATCACCATTTTTGATGACATCTTTTCCGAGGCCGGGCTCCCTGAAGGCGGTGGCGCAGGTGCTCTTTGCGCCCGAGCAGGCGAAGCAGGCCATGGCGGAGCGGAAGACCGAGGTCTTTGGGCAGTTTGCCACGCTGCACCCGGAGGCGGATGGGATGATGGGATGCTGTGGAGCCATGGCTGGGATGGGGATGATGAGCCATGGCTGGTAATGGTGATGGGGAATTTTTTGGGGTGGCCTGAACGGTGCGAGGCGCAGTTCATCTTCTTTGGAGACAGCGGCAACTTGGATGGCAATGAAACCTGTGGATTTCATTGCAGTGTAGCAAACTTTGCATAGGAAATCCATGGGATTCTATCAATGGTTGATGATCCTCAGCTGAAATACCCTCTGGTAAACTAACATAACTATGGAAAATCACCATTTTTAATGGGAAAATCCACTATAAATGGTCATTTTCAATAGCTACGTTAAATTACCAGAGGGTACATTGTCAATCATTGCCATTGTCAAGACTTTTGGAAAACGTTTGTCAATGAAGGTTGAAGTTGAACCATTCGGATGGAGCAATCTGAAAATAATCTTCCTTTTTCATCGCAGGGATATCCGCTTAGAAAACTTTCCATTTCATCCACGTATTAGGGCAATGTGTGTATATATATATATGTATAATATATGTATAATATATGTGTAATATATGTGTATATATATATATGTATTATACACTTATGCGCACGTATGACAGATATGACTGTATGCATATATGTATCTATAATATTATAGAATAACATAATATGACAACCACGCACCACATGTAACATATATTTCCCAAGCTCCCAGTTGAACACGGCCGTGATTCCAGGTGAGGGCGACATTGACTTCGCCGAGGAGTTCATGGCGGCGTCGCGGGCGAGTTCGCGCACATCCGGCCACCCGCCGCGGGCGGCGTTGATCCATGACGTGTCCAGGCCGGTAGTTGGGGCCATGAAAATTAGAAATGTAACCAGCCGATTGGGATTTCAGCATATTTCAACCATGAAAAGAGGCGATTTTTTAGCAAATGAAGTATGAATAATTATGAATATGCGTTTGTCCAAAGTGTGTATCTACATGTCTGGCAATTTCACTAGGAAAGCTGATGATCGGGAGTAGCATACCACATGGGGGGTTTTGGTCATGATTTCAGATGAACCAGTTTCGGTCCGAACTTTGGACTTGTACAAATAACATCAAATAACTCTGAAAAGTTGAGAGTTGCCGATTTCATTTCGGAATTGGAATGGTTTTGCGAGAGTTGAGGATCATCAACCCTTTTTGCTTCGCCACATCGGAAGCCTTGGGTCAGGGCAGATGGTATCATGCCCAAAAGCAATGCCACCAGCCGAAGTGAGTTGCGGATGAGAGGGATCCATGTCTTCGACACCTATGCTGGTGCTTGGATTGCAGACAGTGGGCGGCACCAGTGACACCTCGCTGGTATAGGCATCTGCTAGCTGAAGTCCCTCTTGCTTTAGCAAGGTATTGAGGGGAGCTGGAATCTCCAATTGCAAGAAACTTTTCAGTTATCTACCCCCGCCCCTTCACAAGCAGTTTGGCCGTGGGCTCAACCCCTGCCGGGGTCACCGTCAGCAACATGAACATCGGTATTCTCTGCACTCCACACTCTACACTTTACACTGCGCACACTGAACTCTTAACTTCTTAACTTTGCGCTCCACACTTTACACCCCACACTCCACGCTCTACACCTTGCACTTTACACTTGGCACTCCACACTCTAATTTTGTGCTTGGCACTCCACACTCCACCCTCTAACTCTACAATCCACACTCTACACTTTACACTCCACACTCCACACACTCTAGACATGACCAAATGTCCATTACCACAACTGTTGTGCACGCAAGGGTTTGTTGTACTTAACATACGTATATATATATATACACATAGTGTATATCCTGATACCTGGGGATGATCTGATCAACATCCACCAACATCCATCAATCTTCACCCCATGTTTTTTCGCCTCAGGTGCCGCTCTGGAACTCTTCATGCTGGGCCTTTTGGATGCCGAAGGTCTGCGCAGTGCCGCGCACGGCGACCTGGAGGAGTTTGGGGAGATCAACGTGGTGGACTTCGCATCCAGCGAGGTGCCTTACGCTGCGGAAGGTTCATTTTAGTTATATTTTAAGTATATAAGTTGCTTCATGTTGCTTTATGCATGTTAATGTGTCACCCATGTTTTTGGGGGATGAGTCGCATGCATCTACGGGATGTTTTCTTGACTTTTGGGATGAGACATGTTCGCCCAAACCCGGACGTTGCTCCGCACTTACAATGGTCATCATCATCATCATCATCATCATCATCGTCATCATCATCATCATCATCACCATCATAATCATCATCTTTATCTTCATGAGGGGTCAAAATTCGCCAACCCTTCTGAACAATATGTTGATTGGGGTAATAGCATCAACTATATCTCCATGAGGGATCAAAATTCGCCACCCCCTATGAACAATATGTTGATTGGTGTAATAACATCAACTTTCTCTTCATGAGGGATCAAATTTCGACACCCCCTATGAACAATATGTGGATTGGGGTAATAACATCAACTTTATCCTCATGAGGGATCAAAATTCGCCACCCCCTATGAACAATATGTTGACTGGCGTAATAACATCAACTTTCTCTTCATGAGGGATCAAAATTCGCCACCCCCTATGAACAATATGTTGATTGGGGTAATAGCATCATCTTTATCTTCATAAGGGATCAAAATTCGCCACCCCCTATGAACAATATGTTGATTGGGGTGATAACATCATCTTTATCCTCATCAGGGATAAAATTTCGCCACCCCCTATGAACAATATGTTGATTGGGGTAATAGCATCATCTTTATCTTCATAAGGGATCACAATTCGCCACCCCCTATGAGCAATATGTTGATTGGGGTGATAACATCATCTTTATCTTCATCAGGGATAAAATTTCGCCACCCCCTATGAACAATATGTTGATTGGGGTAATAGCATCATCTTTATCTTCATAAGGGATCAAAATTCGCCACCCCCTATGAAAAATATGTTGATTGGGGTAAAAACATCATCGTTATCTTCATAAGGGATCAACATTCGCGACCCTCTATGAACAATATGTTGATTGGGGTGATAACATCATCTTTATCTTCATAAGGAATCACAATTTGCCACCCCCTATGAGCAATATGTTGATTGGGGTGATAACATCATCTTTATCTTCATCAGGGATAAAATTTCGCCACCCCCTATGAACAATATGTTGATTGGGGTAATAGCATCATCTTTATCTTCATAAGGGATCAAAATTCGCCACCCCCTATGAACAATATGTTGATTGGGGTAATAACATCAACTTTCTCTTCATAGCCACCTGAAGTCAGATGCGGAGCAACGTCAGGGTTGCAGCGAACATGTTTTACTTGGAGGTAATTAATGGCAATCCTTTTCCCCTAATACTTTCTGAAAACGGAAGTTCCTGGTTTGTTATTGGCCTGTTGATTTTGTGGTCCATGGGCAAATACTTATGGGATTGTTTGAAGGGGAGATACATATCCATAACTTTTTCAAATCCGAACTTGGACCCAATCACGAGAGTCTTCACCAACCGATTTTGTGGCACCTTCAGTGGCTATTTCATACCACTTTGGGCCTCTTTAAATTTTGGGATCCCCAAGTAGAACATTGGCTTTGTTGAATTTAAGATGTCCCGCTTTCACCAACGGGCATATTGATTTTCCATTCGTCAAATTTACTTTGCCTGTGCTTATCATCCGCTTTTGCCGTCCAAAAACCCACCAAATTGGATGGTTTTATGCTACAACTGAATCAGCCTTTTTGTTGGTCCATTGGTACCCCAAAATTGGGTCGCCATTCTCGTTTTTGGTTGAAACCATCTCATCTCAAGTAAACAAGTGCGGTTTTTACCACGCATTTGACATTAATAGTGGATTTTCCCACTAAAAATGGTGATTTTCAATAGCTATGTTAAATTACCAGAGGGTAAACCAAGTTCTCCAACGTTTTCCCAGAAACCAAAACCCATGGATTCTCGAAACGGCCAGGTTTTTGAGACGCGCCGCATGGAGCTTTTGCGTGACATCCGAGAAGTGAACTCGGCCATTCGCGCTGCAGAGCTGCGGAAGAGGCGAAAACCCCTGGTTTCGTCCATCTTTAGAATCGAAGATACCTAGGGATGTTGAAAGGGTATATATCACCATCCAGTAAATTCAAACAGATATGGACAACAATGGTTTTCCAAGGAAACGATATACAAATGGGGTGGGTTTTCCATGCCTATGTGATTTTACTAAAGGGTATGATCATAAGGAGAGCCATTTTTAAAACGTTTTCAGACAATAACTTATGTATATATATATAGGCAATGATTTATTGGAGATTTCCAACGTGATCTGGCAATTCTTTAATGTGGACCATGATTAATCAGCGGATTTGGGTCATTCCCTGTTTTGGGGCAAAACCATGTCATGGCAGCAACAAATTAAGAGAACACAGACATAAAACCTCCAAAACATCACTCTTGAAAGGTTACTTTGTTTAGCAAAAGTATGATTCAAACAGATTTAATCATTTTCAAGAAAGTGAAGCATCGAAGCGTCTGCTAAAAACCAGCATTGATGGGTGAAACGGTCAAATTGCTGGCCCATTGGATCCTTGCAGGTCCGACTCAAAGGCTTCATCCAGTGGAGCGGCTTGGGATAAGACTTGTTGACTCTATGTTTTTCACGTGGGGTTTTCCAAGTTGCAGATTATATCAAAAGTACTGGACCTGATGATGGAATTTTCCGTCCAGAGAGGAACAGACTTTTGTGGATTGTCTGTACCCAATATTGACATAAATTGAGCCCAAACCCCAATTTTGATGTGCGACGCTGCACAAGGCAAATGCTTACCCTTCCAGTCAGGACCAGCTGCAGCGGTGTTGGCGGGTTGGACGTTCCTAGCAGTCCCAAAGGACCAGAAGTTGTTTTTTGATCTCCGGAAGCTTACCATGTTTTGGGGGGAACAGGAGTCATAGAAAAAAACAAAGAATACATATACATATACATATACAAGTATATACATATATATATATGTATATGATGTATATGTATGTATACATATATATAATTTAAGGGCTGCCGCCCCTGCCGCCGACCCCGGAAGAATTGGCAATGAATGAAACCAAATTGGCAGAAATATTTGTCGGTGCTTCGCACTTGCAGGTTTTCTCCTTTTTCAAATGTATATTTTCATGAAATATACTTGATATGTTTGAATGAAATATATTTGATAAAATATTTGATATAGTAAGAAAACCCACCCACCAAACCCTTTCACCCCCCTGAGCAGTTCCTCGACGACTTCAACCAGAGTGTGGGTCTTGAGCTCGTGAATTATAAAATAAATAAACCCTCCCATTTATCCCCCCTTTTTGCGGCAAGGTGCTGTGTTGTTCCGTGGCAAGGCGCAGAACTGAAATAAAATACACAGGCATCCATCATGTGTGGCACTAGTGGTTCAGGTATCGCATGCAATGATGTTGTTGGTGTTCGAAAAGCATATGGGAAAATACGATGGTTGGACATGCTAGGCCATCGTATTTTCCCACGTCATTTTTGGAGGATTTGGGAGCGAAGGTTTGCTGATTTTCTTGAGCGATTAATTAGATATTGAGGATGTATATCCTCCTTCAAATTTCAGCTACGAAATGGGGAGGACTTGGGCTACAGTACAGATTGCCAGCCAGCATTTTTTTGTACAAACAGGAGGGGTTGTGCCCCCCATTTTGTATTTGGAATCATTTTGTAGTTGATTCCTTTCGTTGCATGCATTTTCATTTGTAGTTATATATGTTGAGTCAGTTGAAGCATGCAACATAAAATTTCATTAGCATGGACAAACAGATCATGAAGCTACAGAATGCCATCTAACAAACCGCACGGGGTCAACACTTGATCCAACTAAATTCAATCATTGACAACTACAAAATGTTCTCCGAATTTATGTTGGTCGGAACTTTGGAATTCAAAGACCCAACTACAAAATGTCATTGGGAAAAATCATGTTAGAAATTCCGACGTTCAGCTATTTTTTTGACTTCAGATGCATTGGATTTTGTAGTACTGGTTTTGAATTGTTTTCCGAGCCAGAAAGAGTTATGTTCTTCATTTTGTAGCTGAAAAAAAAGTACATGCACTTGCATTTTGTAGTTGTGCACCCTGTGCATTCCGCTCTGTATCTACCAAAACCGTCTGCACAACTCCTCCCCCCTTATCTGAACCCTGATGGATGTATCAGTTTCTATTAGCAAGTCTGTTCAGAATGCGTTGGTATGCAGGCACCTTTAGCACTTTGAAAACCATCCGTGGCAAGGTGCAATATTATTGCTAGTGGCAGGTGCAGCAACTAGCCACGGCGCAGAGTATGCATAGCATGTTTTTTCTTGGCACTAATGGTTTGAACAAGGTGTACGACTTGTATGTAGTTTTCGGCTAAGTGTCTTTTTAAGTGCCTCCGCCACGCCCAAACAGCAGGGCCCGAAAGGACGGACCGGGCCTGCCGGCAACGGCCCCTGCTGCCTAATGTTGCTTTCTGAACCTACAAGAAAAGTAGCCATCTTCGAGCTTGCCAAACTCAGAAACGGCGCCTCCGCCACGCCCAAACAGCAGGGCCCTGAAGGACGGACCGGGCCTGCCGGCAACGACCCCTACTGCCTAACGTTGCTTTCTGAACCTACAAATGGCAACACCCTGAAGGACGGACTGGGCCTGCCGGCAACGGCCCCAACGGCCTAACGTTGCTTTCTGAACCTACACGAAAAGTAGCCATCTTCGAGCTTTCCAAGCTCAGAAACGACGCCTCCGCCACGCCCAAACAGCAGGGCCCTGAAGGACGGACCGGGCCTGCCGGCAACGGCCCCTACTGCCTAACGGTGCTTTCTGAACCTACAAGAAACGTAGCCATCTTCTAGCTTTCCAAGCTCAGAAACGGCGCCTCCGCCACACCCAAACAGCAGGGCCTTGAAGGACGTTCCCTACTGCCTAACGTTGCTTCTGAAACCCTAGAAACAGACAATCTGTGCAAAAAAATTAGCTGCTGCTGCTGCTGCTGCTGCTGTAGCAGTAGTAGTAGCAGCAGCAGTAGTGTCTTCTGAAATCCTAGAGAACTATATATAGCTGGCCCTGCTGTTTCGAAGCACCTCCGAAACAGTAAAGCACCACCTAATTTCGTGCCGAAAAGGACACAAAATCGCAGCAAAAACCTGCCTAACGTGTCTTCTGAAATCCTAAAGAATCTTATTAGAATTAGATAGAATTAGATCTATTGCTGCTGCTACCGGCCTGCTACCTACTTACTGGCTGCTAGCTACTGGCTGCTGCTGAAGCCGCGAAAATCTCCTGAGCTGCTGGCTACTGGCTGCTGCTGAAGCCGCGAAAATCTCCTAAACTATAAATATAAAACTATATATAGCTGGCCCTGCTGTTTCGAAGCACGTCCGAAACAGTAAAACACCACCTAATTTCGTGCCGAAAAGGACGCAAAATCGCAGCAAAAAAGCTGCCGAACGTGTCTTCTGAAATCCTAGAGAAGCTTAGTAGATCTATCGAGTTTCAAAACCACGTTAAAAAACTGCCTAACGTGTCGTCTGAAATCCTAGAAAAACAACCTTTTTCGAGAGATCGAGGGATTCTGTTGCCTGCAGCTACTGGCCGTAAAACGTGGCAGTGAAGGATCAAAAGTATGCCTATAACTACTTTTTCCTGCTGGCAGTACTGCTGGCAGTAAAACAGCTTCCAAAAAAGCAGCTGCCGGCAGGAAAACGCCAAACAGCTTCGAAAAAAGTGTCAAAATCACGCTAAAAAACCTTCACCATCCCTTCTGAAATCCTAGAAAAACACAATTTTTCGAGAGATTCTATCGCCTGAAGGTGTTCGAGATCTCGCACAAAGTTACCATCGAACTTGAACCTCGAGGATGCGGCCTCGAACGAACAGATCAGGGCGGGAAGGGCAACCAAGGAGCCCCACGTACCTCGAGGAGACTCCGGGAAGGACCCCCCACCGGTAAAACAAAAACCCCGGAGTCAATGAATCGACGTACGTGACCGGTGGGAGGGGGACCCAACAGGGTCCCCCGGCAAAGGGTCATTGTTGTTGTTGTTGTTGTTCTTGTTGTTGTTGTTGTTGTTGCTGTTGCTGTTGCTCTTGCTGTTGCTGCCATAAAATAAAATTAAAATAGAATCCTGTTGCCTGCTGCCTGCTGCTGCCTGCTGCTCCTGCCTGCTGCTGGCTGCTGCCTGCTCCTGCCTGCTGCTGGCTGTTGCTGGCTGCTGCTGGCTGCTGCTGGCTGCTGCTGGCTGCCTAACGCCGGCTGCTGCTGGTTGCTGCTGCCGGATGCTGCCTGCCAGACACCTACTGCTGCCTGCTGCTGGCTGCTGCTGGCTGGTGCGGGCTGCTGCTGGCTGCTGCTGGCTGCTACCTGCTGCCTGCTGCCTGCTGCTGCCTGCTGCTAGTAAAAGTAGCAGTGCAGTACCTCTTCTTCCCTTACGCGCTCCCCCTTGCATCGGCCGGGGTCAGCGAATTATTATTATTCTTTCCTGGCAGCTGTATGCTCCCCCTTGCATCGGCCGGGGTCAGCGAATTATTATTATTCTTTCCTGGCAGCTGTGTCATAAACTCTTTTTCCCTTACGCACTCCCCCTTGCGTCTGCCGGGGTCGGCGGATATAAACATGAAGCTTATGGACTGTCGAGAGCATAGTATGCTCCGGTACCAAAGACACGACTTGATCTAAGAAAATTGCAGCCTATATAAACATGAAGCTTATGGACTGTCGAGAGCACAGCAGAGGTGGCACATGGTTGTTGTTGTTGTTGCTGTTGCTGTTGCTGTTGCTGTTGCTGTTGGTGTTGGTGTTGGTGTTGTTGTTGTTGTTGTTGTTGTTGTTGTTGTTGTTGTTGTTATGTTGTTATGTTGTTTAGCTACTTTTTTCTCCTGCTGCTGAAGACGCTCCTACTGCTGCTGCTGCTGCTGCTGCTGCTGCTGCTGGTGGCTGGCTGCGACGCCTAAAATCGAACCATTCCCAGCGGCAAATCCCCATGGCAGTGCTAGTGCTGCTGGTGGCTGGCTGCGACGCTTAAATACCACTCCCAGCGGCAAATCCTCATGGCAGTGAAGGACGGAAAAGCTCCTACTGCTGCTGCTGGTGGCTAGCTGCGACGCTTAAAATCGAACCACTCCCAGCGGCAAATCCCCATGGCAGTGAAGGACGGAAAAGCATCAAAATTGCACCCAAAAACTCCCTAATGTAACTTGTGAAACCCATAGTTAAAGGAAGAGTACTCTCTAATGTAACTTCTGAAACCCATAGAAAATGATGATTTTAGCTACTTTTTTCTCCTGCTGCTGAAGACGCTCCTACGAACCACTCTCAGCGGCAAATCCCCAGGCAGTGAAGGACGGAGAAGCATCAAATTTGCCCCCAAAAACTCCCTAATGTAACTTCTGAAACCCATAGAAAATGATTATTTTAGTGATTTTAGTCATGATTTTAGCTATGATGATTTTAGTGATGATTCTAGCTACATGTTTCTCCTGCTGCTGAAGACACTGTTTCCTGCGGCTGCTGCTGCTGCTGCTCCTGCTCCTGCTACTCCTTCTGTTCAAAAACGTATCTTCAAAAGGCAATCGCCTCAAACCGAACCACTCCCAGCGGCAAATCCCCATGGCAGTGAAGGACGGAAAAGCTTCAAAATTGCGCCCAAAAACTCCCTAATGTATCCCTGTGATCATTTTCTCTACAAAATAATGAGGTGCTGACACCTCTCGAGCCAGTGCAGGGTCACCAGTTCAAACCCCAACTTTGTCTACAAAATAGAGGATTGAGCATCGTATTTTCTTAAAAAAATGCATTTTGAAAGACCCC